CATTCAAGGAGAGGTTGATCCAACTCAGGTAAGCAGGATAAATATGCAGTATTATTGAAACTTACAAAAACAAAATATCATCTTGTGTGTATGTAATGTATCATTTTTTAATTGTGTGTGATTTCAATGTTCAATATCATCTTTTATACTTTGATCACTTGGTGTTCTATCATGCTGTCACAAAATCTTGAGCAAATTCTATGCTTTAGTAGGAAAACATTGAAAAATTTAAAACATTTTCTTTACAAAATTATATTAACCTTCCTCTGCTGTTGGGGGAGCATTTCTAGTTTTCAACTGGATTTTGTATTATTATAAGGTTTTAATTAAGTTGCAGCTTGCCCAGATCAATTTGTGATCATGAAATATCATATATCTATTATGTATGTATTTAAACAGCACTATTTTACCGTGTCAGTGATTTTATCTTTCTCTGTGGATTTAGGTTCATGAAAGTTTGCAGAGGATACGTGAAAGAAAACTGGTTAACTTTATTGAGTGGGGCCCTGCAAGTATTCAGGTCTGCGTAAATTAAAGTGGTGTCTGGGTAATTTGTCTCCTTTATATTTAGTTTCATGACAATCTGATATTCTTTGTTCGTGCACGTCTAATAGGTTGCTCTATCAAGAAAGTCTCCATATGTTCAAACTGCACACAGGGTGGGATTCTCATATCCTTTTTCTTTCAGTGTTTTGATGACCTATCTTATTTTTCTGCTTTTTTATCTTATTTGAAGAAAGATCAGTATTCATATTCTTTTTTAAGGAATGGTTTTCGTTCTGGGTTAAAATCAGGAAATAACCTATAGGTGCTGCATTTGGTAGGTCAGTGGCCTTATGCTGGCAAGCCATACTAGCATCCGTCACCTTTTCAGTAGAACTCTGAGCCAGTATGAGAAGTTGAGAAAGAAACAAGCCTTTATAGACGCCTACAGGAAGTTCCCAATGTTTGCTGTAAGTGTGACAATTTCATATGCATAATCTGATATGAATCTGCATCTGTTAAATACTTCTTTGGCCTGTGGCATCTTCACCTAAAACTTTGTCATATCATGTGATGACTGACATCAATAAGAAATGGACAGGATAATGACCTTTCAGAATTTGATGAATCAAGAGACATAATTGAGAGTTTGGTTGATGAATATAAGGCCTGCGAGTCCCCAGATTATATCAAATGGGGAATGGAGGTAGGTTCTCTACAACCCTTTTACCATTTTAAGCACACTTGCATACTGCTAACGATTTAACCTCTGATTTAGGATCCAAACAACATGCTAACGGGAGAAGGCAATGCTACAGGATCATTGGATCCAAAATCAGTAGCATGAAAAAACCATGTAAGCTATGAATAGGCCATAATTTAGGCTTACTGTTTCGGGATTTGATTTTACTTTCCTTCTCTGGAAAGATGAATAAGATATCCACTTTTTATAAATTTAAGTTCTCAATTTTGGACATGAGAAAATCTCTTACTGTAGTATTCTTTTTCTCCTTGTGATATGTGGCTTTACCATTATTTAACAATTATTTTATATTTTATTTAAAATTCTCAAATTATTAATTGCTTTAATTTTTATTTTTATTTTTTTGCATTAATTTCTGTTATTCCTGCTTCAAATCTCCACTTTCTTGGATCAACTTGTTTTACTATTTTATATTAAAAATATATTTTTTCATCTTAAAAGTTCAATACTTGTACTTTAAACTTTTTTGTGAAAAAAAATCCTCTTTTCCCTCTAATTAAAGTTTTACTTGTTCATTCAAATTATTATGCATGTTGTTCTTATAATTTGAAATATATCTATTTATATTTTTACCCTTGGAATTGTGAACTTCGTCCTTGGTACACAAATATGCTGTCTTTTGAGTCTGTTTAGTATAAAAATTGAACTTTCTTTTCCGTGTTATTTTCTCCAATGCCTTGCCCTATCTCTCCATCTTTTCTCCCCTTCTGCCGTGGTTTTTGAAACATGTAATCTAATTATAGATATTTACTTGTATCTTAAACAATATATTACATGTTCAACAAAACTGTATGATGCCAATGAGTTCTAGTTCAGTTAGTTGAGCAAAGTTTCAGTTGTTATCAACCTGACATATGTTCAATTCATAAGGATAATATGTAATAGCTTCTATTGTCGTATTGGTATTACTCCTATACTTGCTAATCATCTGTTTGGATTTTGTTTGACTTAGAAAATAGGAATTATATTACAATAAACAATTTTTAAATACATCGAGTTTAAATTTGAATATCTGATCCACACTGATAATGAAACTTTATGTCAGTGCACAATAAAGTGTCGCATCATAGCAACTAGTTTTTCATTTGAAGTCGGATATTTTGAGCATTTCTTAATTAGGTAAAACCACATCTCTTGGGAATCTTTTGAATACTTGATGGAAAAGTAACGAGCCTAAACCAAATCATCGCAGGTACCAGCAGAAGTGAAGCGTTAACAAGGAAAGGATTTTTTGTTAGATCAAGGTTTCCAATGAAGTTCTCAACTAATTTGTGGGGTCTGAGCTGGTTTGCGTTGTGATTATTTTGGTTTGTATTTGTGCCCAAGGGAGATTGAGTACAGAATCTCTCTTTATTGATTCGTTTTTAGCAATGTAAATGGTTTGTTGGATGGTCATTGAAATGTAGAGAATTGAGGAACATAGTTTCGTTATCTGGATCTGTCTTGTTTGTTTGTTAATCTTCTTGTTGCATTAACATGGATCTTCAAATATTTTAAATGTTGTGGCCATAGATTTACACTATTCACGTGGTTCAGAGATTCGTCTCATTGGGTCCCCTTTAAATTGCTTTGGATTCTTCAATTATCGACACGGTGACCGGTGGCGTCTGTCCAGTAATAAATTAAAGGGACTTGGTAACGGACAAACAGTTGTGCATCAAAAAATTGGTTAACCAACTAAAGAAGAAAAAAACGTTTAATTTTTTAATAATCCTAATTTTAAAATGAAGAAAACTCTTAATTGAACATGATCAACTAAAAGGTGTCTGCTTGATTTTGGTCAACATAAACCCTAATTTTGCTAACTTTTTCTCGTTTTCAAAATTAGAGTGGGTGGACTTGACCCTGAAAGAAGTTTTTTTTTTTTTTGACATTTTTTGGACGTAAGATTTGACTATCACAATTATTTATTTATTAACCAAAGTCAGTTTTTTTTGTTTACATTTACTATTAAAATGTTATTTTATTAAGATTATCTATTTAAAAGTATTTTTAAAATTGATTTGTCAAGATAATTTTATTAAAATCTAAAACAAGTAGACCCATTGGGTATCTGAGGGAATATTATTTGAGTTGTCGGTTGAAATGTTGTGGTGGTGATTTCAATGCAATTTGAAGAAAAAAACAAGGATGTATTTATTGACGTCCTGATTCTGGTGTCTCTATTGGAGGTGCTCACGTTAGTTTAGTAAGTGATAAAATTTTATTACAGATGGCTTTCGTTAAAGTTATTGAATAATTTTTTTAATTTTAAACAACATTTTTTATTTTTAAATAATTTATACGTACAATCTATAATAAAATATTTATTTTTATTTTTAAAATAGGTTAAATTTATTATTTTTTTCAAAGTTACATTGTTAAATCTAACTAATTTCTTCTCTTTCTGGGTGAAAATGTTAGATTGCGGTGGGATGAAGAGAAAATAGAATGAAAGACCTTTATTAGTATTCATGAACACACTGTTCACCTTTTGACACGGATTTATTTTCCCTTTTACCATCTTCAAACACAATCTCCATATTTGCTCTAAGCAGAGTGGCTAACCTAATAACACTTCCTCACTTTGCTTATGAAGATCATGCAACCAATACAACTTCCTTAAACTTTAGGTCCACCAAACATTCCATTTAAAATATCAATAAATACATGGTCCATAGTATCATACAACCATTTCTTTTGACCTAAACAATAAACTCATTAGCATATACATGATCCTCATAATGCTTGAAACTTCCTACATTTATTTTGTTTTCTTCAAACTAGATACAACACTACACATGACTATCCCACCAATTTTGACCTAATAAAATGGAATTTAAATTAAATACAAATTACAATTCTACAAATAACATTTTCTTCTCCTGTTATGGTCAAGTTCTAGAAAACATTGCTAAGAGAATAAAACAAAATGTTTAGGCAAAATAATCCATATTGTATACTCTGATTTGTTATGTGAAATATGAAAGACTGATTAACTCTAAAACACATGTAGGGCAGCAACAAAATACAAAATAAACAACGGACAAAAAAAAAACACAAGTGCCACATGCCTCCAATTCAAAATTAACACGAGAAAGATGTGTGTTGATAGAAGGTGGTCCCATTACAACGAAAGAGAAGGAAGAGAGACTCACGTCCCTACAAAGATCATGACATGTATTTTATATTTATGTTCACATGTTCAGCACGGAGCCACACGTTTTATACAATTTTAAATATTTATTAATATATCTAATATTATTAATTTAATTTTTAAAAACTTACCCATTTTATATTATAAAATGAAATTTAAAAAAAAGTAAATAAGTGGTAAAAAAACAAAAATATGAACATACAATAAAAATATTGATATAAAAAGCTATAGTGGGAAAAGAAAGAAAAGTGAGAGATGAAAATAATAAAAATTCAAAGACAAAAGAAACAAAGAAAAAAAAATAGAAGTACAAATTTGTGAATGAGAAAAAGATATGATATTTATTATAATCGAAAAATTAGGAGAAGAAAAAAAAATTATTTATATTTATATTTATAAAATATTTTTTATTATATTTTTAAAGAATAATTATTATATATAAAAAATAAATATATTTTTGGTTTGGGGGCCGGGGCATTAATTCTTCCACTGTCTCATTCACTACCTCTTTTGGTATTAAAGTGGTTCAATTTCAGTGTGAAGTGAACACACACAAACACCTACCAACCTCTTTTGGGTTTGGTTTCGTGCTTCAAGTGAGAGTTTGGAAAAAAAAAAATGGCATTTTTCAAAGCAGTTTCTGAAGTTTTGGCCATGTATAGTTTTCTCTTTGCCATTTTTTCACCTGCTGTTCTTGAAGCACAATCCCTTTCCCTTGCACCTGCTCCTGCTCCCTCCAGTGATGGTAATTTCCCATTCCTAGTTTGAGTGAAACCTTTTTCTCCTTTTCCAATAGAAAGAATCAACAATGTAAATGTAACGCTGCATTCAGTATTGAAATTTGTCAATGTCTCTAAGAAACTATAGTGCTTCATTTCATGCTAGATGAATATTATCTTTGAGATGTGGTGGTAGTAGATGTTGTTAAAACCTATTTCAGTTGAGGAGATCTAGATCCAAAGATTAAAAGACGGTCCCAGAATGTACACTTTCACCACTGTTAGTTGTCATTATGAAATTGATGGCAACAGCACAGTGACACTTGTTTTCATACTTAGTCTGCATGATATTACAGTAGGTGAATGTGGTCTTTGTTTTTTGTTGATGTTTTTGTTTGGTTTTGGATATTCTTGTTCAGGTACCTCAATAGACCAAGGAATTGCATACATATTAATGCTTGTCGCACTGGTGATCACCTACCTCATCCACCCCTTTGATGCGTCTTCTTATCAGTTCTGAATGAATTATCTGTCACTGTTTTATCATAGAAATTGAACATAGTAAGAGTTGAGGTTCAATTCATTGCTTGGAGAAGGATGTTATTGTGAGCTGTTTTTAATATCTTCTATTCTTTTTTTATTATTATTTCTTCTTTTCTTTCCTCTTGTAATCCCCTGATTTTACATTATGTTCTTCTTTGGTTCTTCTTAATGATGAATGATTATTAATGGGAATTTCATTAAGAAATGATAGATAAATTAACTTTTTATCAGATGTCTTTCTTATATTAATTTGATAAAAATATGATTATAATTTCTCATTTTAAATATTTATTCAAATATTAAAACACGAAAGTACAAACGTGTGATAAAAATAAATATACAATAAAAATAAACTAGAAATATAAAATGTGCAAAATATAAATTACCAAGAGAATAATAAATCAATAAAAATAATGATTCATATTATATAGAATTCAATTAAAATAGTCTCTTTCTTTTTTTTACTACAATTTATTAGTTATATTGGTTACATATAAATATTTTATGTAACTTCCAGACAAATAAAATAAAATATAAATAAAAAATATTTATTTTTTATTAATAATTTATTATTTTTTTCAAGTAATTTCATGATTACACGTAATACTTATAATCATTTTTGTCAAGTTATCAAATTATAATTATTTATTTTTATATATTTTATAACACTTTTTATATCCATTTTTTCTTACTTATTTTTTTAAGTCTTCAAATTTCTGACTTTCTCTCTTGATTTTTTTCTTCCATAATTATGAACTTAAAATCCTCTAATTCTTTGATTTATACTTTTATTTATATGTTTTTCTAATTTCGATTTTTTCTCACCTCTCGATTAAATCATCCATTTCTTATCTTTTCAATTTTTTAATCTTCTTACTATCTTTATTTTTATTATCTCGATCTTAATTTTTATCATTTTAGTACTCAATTTTTATCAATTCTTTCTGGATTTTTATCATCAAAATCATCAAATTTTTTTATAAAATTCAATATTTTTTTTCAACCTCCTTTCCGTATATTTATAAATTTATTACTAACAATTATAAATTTATTACTAACAAATATTGCATTGTACCACAATTTAATTTATTACTTACGCGCTATATATTTCTAGATTACACTTGATATAATCCCCCTTTTGTTATTGTCTATATAAGAATCCTTTTGATAATAAATTATTGTCTAATTTCGATTATCATAATACTTGTGATCTTAGCAGTGTTAGTCCATATTTTCTTCTCACATCAATTTAAACACCACGTATGGGGATAAATATAAGGATTAGACATATACTCAATAATATTTTAAGGAACCAAAAATACTCATATTTACAATACCAGATCTTGATTAAATATTTTTGTTTGGAATGGAAAAAAAAAAAAACAAGATCAAGATGAAGTTTTTACATGCGAAGTATGCAAGGGAGATGGTAAAAAGAGTTCTGGAGGGAGGATTGTACAAATAACAAATGTGTTATCCCTTCTCTTATAAACACAAAATGAAATACATGTTACAAAAAGATAAGGATCCAACAACGACAAATATGCATATATCTAGTGATTTTATGACAATATATTCCATACCTTTGCAACTAAATAACAGAATGTCAACATAAATTTTCATTTCATAACTTTGACATTTTTTTTTTCTACTGCATAAGAATAATTTTCAAAATTAATGAACTTCCAAAAGTAATCATTTGCATTCCATTACCATAATTATTGGATTTCATATCTATTAAATGCATCTCATATACATGCAGAATTTGCGAAGTTAAATGGTATAAAATAGTAGATAAAAGTGCCTTTATTGATGTAGAAATCATTTGCAGAATTCACAAGAGGATGCCTAGCTGGCTTACCTATGGAATTCACAGAGAAAAAAAAATCCCTTTTTAAAATTATAAATTATTATATTTTTAGAAACTAATTAATAATAATAATTACAAAGAAATATATATTATTATTAATTATAAACTATAAATATTTACCTTGATACGTAATATATATTACCCATCTCTTCTCTCTCACTCAGTCCCCAACAATAATCCTTGCCACCACGTCACTGACCGCGACTCTCTCACAACTCTAAACCCTTTACAACCTCCTTAATCAATGACAATTGTTGGTCTTAAATCAGTAATAAGTGTTTTTATTTTTCAGGCAAAGCTCACTTGTTCTGTTTGTTTGCCTTACTAGGATTTTGCTCTTATTTTTTGTTTAACTTTTCTTACTCATATTTTAGCTTAGAGATTCATGCTTAATTCCATGTAGTAAACCTGTGCAGTTATTCAGCACATGTTGGGGCTCGTTTATTTGACAAAGTTCAAGACTGGTTAATTGAAGCGTTTCAGAATTTGTCATTCATGAAATTTAGTTTTAATATATCATTTACTTTTTTAACGTTTTTAGAATTATTGATGGTATTTTTAATTGTACTCTTTTAAGTTTTAACTAAGACCGACATTCACGTCGCATGCAATTTGATTAGCAAGCCCTGATAGGCAAGGTTCATGCGCCATGCCAATCGGAGTCAATTTCTTCACTGAAAATTTTATAGTTTTGAAAGGCAACTTAACCTTTAACTTGATAAAAAAATGGTCCGATTTTAGTATTTTCTTTATATAAATGGTCCAGTTTACAAAAATAATTCTGTCCTACAACATGGAATTTGCCAAAACACCTCCAAGCACACCTTGGCCCATATTTGTTTTTTAATATCAAAGCCTATATAAGTTAATGAATTGGGCTTGTGATAATTCATAAAATACAAAAAAATAGTGTGAATTCGTATTCAATAAAACAAAACCTATTGTCTAAGAGCAAGCTAATCAACTTGCTGATCAGACTGACTGTCAAAATTCGTACAAAGGCACTTATTAACTTTCCTCCTAATTTTGCAAATGTATTGATGAAAAATATACGCCTTACATATGCGGCCTACGAATGGTTAAGACAATTATACCATTTGTTCTGTTGCCTCTTGAGCTGAATTCTTGAAACGTTAGTATCATGATTCTTTGGGCATGAGATTGATGTCTTGGATGTAATTGACTACAAATCTAACTTTAAAATGGAGTTAGGAGCCTCCACCAAACAATTGGAAAAGTATATTCTATGATGAAGTGGGATGTGTATGCTGTAAGGTATACTTGACAACTTCGTAAAAGGAGACAACTATGCCAACCGATGGACCAGCACGACATACACGAGGGCCAACACCTGAAAATAGCCCTCTTAATCCTCCATCCCTGTCCCAAGAAAGTGTTAGCCCCAAGGTCAGTACAAAGCCTATGTCCTAAATGTACCTCTAAAGTAATTTTGATCCGTCCGTACCATCAAGTGTAGGAAGATGCACATACCTCCAAATCTCAAGTAATGTTGTTCTTGTTGTCATCGTTAACGCTCTTTCATGATTCTTCTGGAAAAATACAAATAAGACCATGCTTTAGAAAGAAAAGAAAAAACAATCAAGTCATCAAGCTATGCATTTTTTAGACGCGTGCAAATTAACTTAATGTGCATTATTCCCCATAAAAATTTAAAAATGGGGTTGATTGATGGGAGAGAATCACACCAAAACCTTGGGAAAAAATCCCTGAAAAGAAAATGGTAGATTCACAACAGAACATTAGAAAACTATCCCTATAAAGAAAATGGTCTACTAGCCGTTCTTTAAAGATTTAACTTGCTGGAAAACCATACAACTCTGATAGTTAATCTACATTATGTAACATAGCTTATACTTCAATTTAGAATGGCTAAATATTCTAAATCGATTGCACTTGCTTACAATTTTCAACGAATTTGAAGCCGAATGTTATAGGTTGATACATTATGACATAAACATGAACAGTTGAAAATATGAACATACAGCCCATCCACCCCCTTGCAGGGCACTCTAACAAGAATCAAAAGTCAATACAGCTGTAATAATCTACACATCTATTTGAGTAAAGAATTCTGATTCTGAGACTTGGCTTACATTTATATAGTGACACTGGAAGTTTGATTTAAGTGAACAGCTAGCATGGTATTTTCTAAATGATAATTGTCACCTACTAAAAGAACCTAGGTTGATTACGTTTCCTGATGATGCAAGGTCCAAATTTCTGCCCTTTCTTGGATGCGATAAGTAAATAGAAATTTGTACGCAAAAATCCATGGTTTTGAGAAACAACCTCTATTTGTCGTCGTGTTTTTGCCACATCCAGTGGACATGTGACAGCAGATGCCAAAGTTCCTGCAACAAAACCAGCAGAAAAATTTGCCCCAAGGACAGTGGCTGCACTAGCTCCATCATCACCCACTAGGCCAAGAATGTTTTTCCTAATCTGCAAAATAAGTTCCAAAGTTAACAATAATACCCTGAACAAAAATAAAAATGAACTCCTTTTCGTTCTGCTCATTAAATGTAACAAAATCTCACTGGCTCAAGGGTTGACCAGCAAATAGCAGAGAATGGAACATCACGAGAAAGTTGTGCTCCGAGGCCAGTCCACCAGAAACGGTACCTATGCACTGTTCAAAAAATGTAATAAGAAGAATGACAAATAGAGGCAACTAAAAGAGCACAGACATCATACACTCCAACAGAAACTGCAATCTTGACATGTAATGAGAAAGGTTTATGACGAAAAATTACCTAATCAGTAAACACATTTGAACTCATAAATTAAACAGAGAAAGATAAATCAAAGATCTTACAGCTTTGAAAAATACTTGTGCCATTGTCAGGGTGAACGACTCCAAGCAATGTCTTCCACACCCCTGGAGGCTTACCACTTTGGGTCGTTCTAAATGCCTAAAGAATGAGAGAAAACATGTAAGAAGAGAAATTTAACCTACCCCCAACTTAACATTTAAAACTATTACCTGCATGCGAGTCCTTGCAAGTTCTACAGGATAACAAGAAATGCAAGCAAATGAGCGTGCAACTGATCCAGCGAGTAATGGAACATAAGGTGTTAAATTTGGAGCATTCTTTGTTGTAAACTCCTCCATCATATTGCGTAAAATATCATAACAAGGCATGTAGATTCCAACCTATTTGGCAGTAGAAAAAGGCAAGACCATTAGCATATATAAGATAAGGAGACCAAAAATATATAATCTACTAATGTAAACCATAAAGCACGGAACAGAAAATTTCAGACAGAAAAGAGGGCTTACAGTTGGCACAGCCAATGCTAAACTTGCACTCGTGCCTCTCCACAGTCTCATAAAGCCTTCCTGCAAAATTCAATCCTGTGAACCCTCTAGTAGTAAGATATTAGAGTATCAAAGGAAAAATAAAATAAAATAAACAAGTACACACGAACATCTAATCGATGCAGACTTCAAGAATTACTACATTTGTGAAACGTGACATGACATGCAACCTTTTACAAACTATTTCATCATAATGTTACCAGAAACTTCATGCAAGTTTATCTATTTCACCAGCTAACTCTATTAAGGTTGGAGTTCTTTATAGCCAGACTTGCAACATCTCAGCCTTAAATCCAAAAAGAAATCAGCAGTCATAGTTGAATTGAATCTAAACGGTATACCACATAAAATTTCCTTCACCGTAAATCCCAGAAACAATTTCTTTCTAATAATCTACTTTGAATGAGGTAAAGAATTTCTCAACTTCCTTTTTTTCACAAACCAAGGTCTAAGATATTTACCTATTTTAGAATTCTAGTTCATCACAATTTTATCCTTAAAGGTGTTTTGATGAATTAAGGAAAGAGAGAGTTTCTAAATTAACTTTAATCTCAATTCTTAAGCAATGTGTGACTTGAGTGTATATTAAAACATTCCTATTAATCGAGGATTAAGGAGTAGGATTAAGGAGTAGGAATGAACTGAAATTTTATTTTCAAGTACACCATGGTACCAATATTTTATCTAAGAATGAAAATATCCTGGTTCAAAATTTGTTATAATAACATTATTAGGATCCATTATCAAATTTGAGATATTGTCTTACACTATAAAGACCATCTTTCTTGACTTACCAAGACTTTTTTTTAAGAACAAAATTACGATGGAATAAAGTTTCAAAATTATGATTAGTTCTATTAATGTTATTATAACGGACTTTGAGGCCGAGATACTATTATTCCCAGAAAGAACAGTGCCTAAACAACAAATAGGAAAAATTACCACCTAAATTTTCATATCTTGTACTGTGTCAAAACTATAACCAGCTAAACCACCTTCATACACAGACATACCCATCTAATACAATCCCCCAATGTCTTGTGTATCCGTGGCAATTAGTTACTGTCACAATCCAGTAATGCAAGAAAATAGATTTGTCTTTTTTCTGTTTCACCCTTTTATGACCTGAAGTAAACAACTTTATAAGGAAACACCATTACACGTAGTCAGGGAGTGACAAACGCCAAGACCATCGACACAACGTGTCTTTATGGACGGCATAGTAGAAAGTTCTAATTTCCTATTGTGTGAGAAAACAATCCACTATACAGAACCACTCACTCACATAGTTAACAAAACTGTTATCTTCACAATGAGAAAGTCAAAGTTCAATTGACTAGAGTGGAGTAAAATCTTGCAACGCAACTTAAAACAGCACATGAACGCACCTGACGTATAACTTTGTAGAAAACGTCTAATGTCCCTTTATAGGTGTTACACCCAGAAGGACACGGCCGTGGTGGCGCAGAGCCAGAAACAGGACACATAATATCGTGTAGCCTCTGAAAATAAACAAAAGTTAAAACTGTACAAAACACACCTCAGTTAAAGAATAGAAATGTTGGAGAAACATTACCATGTTCGTTTGAAAAGGTGCCGTTCGGCAATCACCGTGGTAGGGAACACCAGCAGCCTGTGCTTGCAGTCTTGTCTGAAAGCAGAGTGGTATGTCACCGTGATACTAAGTTCATATAATTAAATTATAATTACTTTACTAACAAAAACTAAAATTGATGAATACCTTGGCGACATCAAGGGGATTAACAATAATGGCTGACAGAAAGGCGGCGCCAGCAGCGGAGAAAGCCCGTTCTTCGATTCTTAGTTGCGTGTCAGAATTGGTATCGGTGTGTGGTTGTGACATTGGAGAAATTATTTTCCGAATCAACATCGGCGACGGTCGGTTAGGTTTTGGTTTCTTCTTGCAGAACAAGTGAGAGAGGGAGAGATTCGTGGCGTCAATTTGAGGGCGCCAAACAATTCACATGGGCTTTCAGCCTCAGGCACCTGTGTGGCTTGGACTTTTGGACTCTGGACTCAACCTGTTCTCCTACAGGAATAATCTAGAAACCAAACAAGTTCTTTTTTGTTATTTATTTTCCACAAATTATTTATTCAATCATATCTTCCTATATATAAACCATGTTTCAACGATCTTATTGTTAAGAGATAGTAAAAAATATATTATAGAAAATATTAAGATATAATTAATAAAATAGTATATTAATAATACTCTTTCATTTTGGTTTGGTACAGTAAAAAGATTCTTTTAATAATTTTTACAGTAAACAAATATGAATAATATATTATTATAGTTTATAATAATAAAATTAATTATACGGTCATTATGAAAGATAATTTTGTTTAATTTTACAATAACAATTTTAAACCTATGGTAATTGTGACATATTAACATAGCAAAAGTCTTTGGTTACTTCCACCTTCGTATTATTTACAATTTAATTATGCAAACAAAATTTCCACAGTTCCCATTATTATCAGTATCCATAGTATATATAAAAATATTGAAAGAGTAAACCACAATTTTTCATAAAAAAAAAAAAAAGTAAAAACAGATAAATAAGTAATTGTTGAAAAGAAGGGACATAGTAAAAAATGGTGATTTTTCAATAGAAAACACCGATTTCATGATACTTGAATAGTAATAGCAGAGGAGGGAAAGAGTTAATTGAATTAATGCTAATTAAGAAAATGACCAAAACAAGCTATCTGATTACCAAAATAAGAAAATGAATCACAATAAGGAATATGGAAACAAATCAAATTATATATTTATGTTTTTTTAATATATGTTATTGTTTATAAAATAATATTATCTTTCATTTAAATAAAATATAATTATGTATATTATATTATATAAAAATATTTTTTATAACTAGTTTTAGTATTATTGTTTATAAAATAATAAATTTTATTAAATAAATTTATTTTCATTTTATTTTTTTATAAAATAAATTCATTATTTATAAAATAATATTTTTATTACATAAAATAAAATCATCGGTTAGAAAATAATATGATCGTGTATTAAATAAAACATAAATATTTTTATTATGTTATTGACTTGGACAACATGTGAGGTATATTTTTTACTTGTGCAAGAAAACTTCGTAACGAAGTTTTTTTTATTCACAGTAAAAAAAATTCTTTTTTATGTTTGAAGGGGGAAGAATGGTTATAACAAGAAATTCTTCCTCCCATATCACATGTTTCTCATTATTCTTCTTCTTTTGTCTAAAGCAACGAGACTCTACTTGTGCAGGATCTGGTGAAACGGGAGAGAGTTTGAATAAAGTGGGAAAGTTTCGGTAGAAATACCATACAAGGTAAGAGGAAGTTTAATTCATTCAATACATGAGACTGAATTGTTAAGTACTTTGTGGATAAGAAATAAGAGTGAAAATCTGAACATTAAAATGATTGATTTTGAAGATTTCTCATGTTTTGCAAAACTTGAAATTTTGTTGAAATTCTTGAAATTAAGGATGAATTATATGATAAAATTGTTGTTTTCAACTTAAATTAGATACAAGTCATGTTTAATTTGAATTTAGGACTAGTTTGTTTGTCTAAAACAGAATAATTTGAAATTTGCAAAAATCTGATACGGTAACGGGGCGAAGGAAGAAGAAAGGGATATGCTGGGGATTTTTTAAAAAGATCAAGGGTAAAATAGTCATTTTACATCCTAAGGACATAAATGGAATTTTTGAAAATATTCAAGGATAAAATAGTCATTTTAGGGACATGGAAGGAATTTGCAAAAATGTCCAAGGGTAAAATAGTCATTTAGGGACATACATGAAATTTTCAGAAAAGATTAAGGGTAAAATAGTAATTTAATGATTTTAAAAAACAATATTTTGGAAATGATTTCGGAAAAGATTTTGGAAATGATTTCGTAAATGATTTTGAAAATGATTTATGAAATGATTTCGGAAATGATTTCGAAAAGGAAAAAAAAGAAGAAAGAAGGAGAATATATATATAATGAATGTAGCAGTTTTAAAGATTTTGTAGTGTGTTGTGACATGTGTAAGTCAGACTGAGTCTAAGGACTGATGCCCATAATCAGTCATGAGATGTTATGTATTGACTAGACTGAGCGGGAGGGTTGGTGCCCATAATCAGTCACGTACTATTATTTATTGACTTGAATGAGCCGTGAGGTCAGGTGGTCTAGAATCCGGCAAATGTGAATGATTTTTGTTGTGTTTGAATGGTACTCGGGGTGGTACAAAGTACATTAGTGTAATAACTATGTCGGAGGATTCTGAATGAGGTCCCAGACTCACTGATTGGTCGGGTCAGGTAGACTACGAGATCAGGTGGTGAAAAGTCGATGGGGGGATGACTGGTGGCGCGCTCGGAGGGATACTCCAATATGAGTGATGAAGGGTGTCAGTAATCCTACTCTGTGTGGAGGATGGTCAGAATAGTAATGCGGGTGCCGATCATAATGTGTCCACAGATGATAGTCTCTGAGTTCGGACATAGTTAGGGTATACTTCCGGAAAGTGTCTTAGTGTGTTGATGATTTCGTAATTGATCATAATATATAATTATTACTTCTATATCTGTTTTATTATATCAAATGATTTAATACTTACCCCTATTTTTCCATGTGGATGGGATCTGCGATGATCACTTTTATGTGGAAGCGGATCGGGAGTTGAGAGATGAAAATGTGACTCATCTGGACAACATGAATAGTTTAGTGGGATAAGCTTCGAGGAGCTAATTTTACATGTATAATATATAAATAAATTATGTTACTATATTTTGAGGTTTCGTTAGTGAGCTGGAATTTAAATCTATGTTACAATTACAATAATATAATGTAAGATTTATGTCGTTATTTACTTGTTTACTATTTTGCGAAGACATAATTATAAGTACCGATTTATAAGGTCGTTACAAAAAACACATAAAAATAGTTATTATATTATTGTATGTTCTAAGAAAATTATAATAATTACAGTATATATGAAGATAAAAATTTAATCTATAATCATATATAACTGAATTTTTATTAAAAAGAAAAAAACATATATTTATATTATATTTTATAATTATATGTCTTTTCAAATTTACACTTGAATATAAAAAAATATATAATAATATATACAGACCAATTTTTGATATTACAAAAAGAAAAAATATATAATTTATATTTATATATATTTTTTAATCATAATATTTTTCAGATTTTGAATATAAAATAATAAAAAATATCATTAATTTCTTATTTTCTCGTATTTATTTATCTTTAAAAATAAAATTTCGTAAAAAATTATTTATATTTTAAAATTGATATATTTTGTGAATAAATATTTATATTTAAAATTTTAATATATATATTTTAAAAGTATGATACATATAAAATAAGAAAATAAAGTGAAAAACATTAAAATTTAAAAAAATAATTATGTAACAAAAAATATTAATATAAAAAATACAAACGTAGGGATGTATTTTCTACTGATAATCAATAATTTATTAGTAAATACTACTTGCAATCACAATCTTAGATTAATAGTATAAACAAGATTAGTTTAAAAACAATATACTCTAAGTTTTCTGTGCTAATTAACTGATAGTTAACAAATAATTTTGTAATGTGAAAATTGAAAGACAATAGTGTGTTTCTGTCTGTTAAATTTCTTTAACCATCTTATTTTGATAATTCATGTTTTAAAAATATTTTTTATAAGTTGCAAAAGTTTAAAAAATTATCCTTCGATCAATTTTATACTAACATTCATAATTGATTTTTAAAAAAATATATTTTTATTATATTTAGCAGTTAAAATTGTGGAAGTGTTTTAAAATAATCATCATAAAATATTAAATTACTAAAACCATCGATTTAAACTCACCAGTTATTAAAAATCATGGGTCAATCAATATTGACCATCAATTATGACTTGAAAACATTCCTCCCAAGAAACTCGTTCGCTGTTTATTCCTCTGAAGAGCTTAACTTAGTCCACAACAAGAATGGTTGCCATCAAACAAAAAATAACAATTCAAATAATTGGTTACCTAATTTTTAGGTGGCAATAAAAGGGTTTAGGAAATGCAGAGATGCTACTCAGTCATCTATTTTGAAGTAATTATTTAAAAGAATGTTTGTCATATATAATAATTTGCTATCTAACAATTAGAGCAGTGGCCAACTGTAACAAACCATCAGACCACAATCTTAAACACATTTTGGGCCCTGAATTATCTATCACATGTGGGATATGTTAAGGTTGTTTCTCAATAATTTCTTTTATGCTACGCTTTATACTAATATTTACACATCTTCGTTTGCTTCAGTTTTTTTATTTTAAGATTGAAAAATTGTCAGTCATTTAGGTTTTGAATTATATAATATATTTTAATTCAAAATATACATGTAGAAAATACATTTAAAATTTTATTTTTGGATTTTATTTTTTGGAAAAATATTATAAAAATACAAATAAAAAAGAAAATGATTCCAAAATACATATTTAAAAAATATAATATGGAATTATTTTTAAAAAAATTTCTGGAATTTGTTTTTTAAAATATATTTTCGAAAAACACGATATAAAAAGGTCTTATGAAAGCTCATTTTCGTTTGAGAATATATTTTGAAAAGCTTTTAAAAAGATGAATTTGAAATATTTTTGGAATACACTTTGTATAATCTATTTACATTATATTCTATATTATTATGGGAGTGTAAGAATAAAGTATGGGGCGCAAAAAGAAGCAACTTTCATGGAAACGGTTTTGGGCTTGACCTGAAGGGAGGGCATTTGATATGTAAATTTTTGAGCAAAAAAGTTGATTTGAAGAGTGAAATTGGTGGTAGGCAAGGGAGGGCGAGGTGAGGTGAACGCATCGGAGTGGAGCAGAAAAGAGCAGAGCAGTGTCATAAAAGGCGAGGCATTGGAGATGGTATTCATTAAATACTCAGCTGCATTAGACGACAATGAAATGACGCCGTTCTGGATTTTTGACCTAGCTCAGGTGCTGCGTTGGGCACTCCCACAATTGCACCCTCTGCCCTCCCTGCTCCCACAAACCCACCCACTTGCATCCTCATTAATTATTATTGCCCCTTTCCTAATCTCTCTCTCTCTCTCTCTCTCTCTCTCTCAATATCTACACAATCTTCTATGATTTATTCAAACCCTTCACTGCCATTTAACACTAGTGTTTCTAGGGAATGCATTTCCTAATTTTGTTATGTTTTCTCTTAAACTCAGATGAAGACTTTTTCATAAAATGCGACACCTATTGGATTTAATTATTTTTAATGGTAAAAATTAGTATATGTAAAAGAATTAGTTTTATCCATATTGTTGTGATGCATTTGGTATGAAAATTCAACGTCATATTTTTAGAGGAAAATAAGAATAGTGATATTCATACTCATCAATATATTTCATAATCTTTACGGTAATTGATACGAACATACCATAAATCACTGCATTCATTGGTTACTAGCTGTTAAATGTTTTTTTCTTTTGCTGTACGTAAAATCCAACTATTATGGACCACAAAATCATGATCAGGTTCATCTTATGACAAATTGCACTGTTGTCTATTTTGTGTTCCATAAATTGAAAGAGAAAGCGCTGGATTTCAGGCATGGAAAGGTTTGTGGAGAAATTCTAAATTTATGGGCACAGTAAAAAGGTGTTTGAAAAAGGACCAATGACAGGCTTGCATTGCATGAGTATGAATCTGGTTTTGAATACCTTTGTTTGTAGACAGGGCATGCAACTTGCTCTGTGCTACTCTGCCCGCCCATTTAAATCTCATTTCCTTCACATATACACAACCATCCGACAATCAAAAAGTCTGTACCAACCTCAACCCATTTCCTCCCCAAACGTTTGACCATATCCAAAATTAGTCATTTTTACCATACACCATTCTCTTGCTAGCCTTACAATTTCAAAATGAAAGCCCACACTTCCGAGGAGACTATCATCTTTATCTGTTTCTAGGTAGTGTTGAGAAATACTATCACGGTTTCTGTTTTGTGTCTGGGATAGAGAGCAGAAAGGCAAATATCTCCAAAAACACCACTTGATATTCAACCCATTCTGTTATATTCCACAGTGTTTTTTTTCTACTCCTAATCAATGAACGCTTTCAAATCAATGGGTCAATGTCTGTTTGTGGGTCCATGTGACTCATCCTTGGTACCCCAAATCTTTGTGTGGGAAGTCGGTTTGGTTTCATAATAGACCTTTTGTTCCCTACTACATTCCATCCACACTCTTTTAAAAAGATCATGCCGGACTCCTCTGTTTTCAACTCATGCCGACATCTATCATATTTGTTCTGCTAGGAGAACCCTGAATCATTTTTTTTTATGCCTTAAAGGGTGTCAGTCTACCACATGCTACACAGTTTAAGATCCTCTTTAATAAAAGACAAAGCACCATAAACAATAGTATCTTTCACAAAAAGGTCATCCTATAACTATCTCCTTGTACCTTTAAATAAGTTCTTTTAGAAGAATAATTACATTATCTACCTTAATGCCTGATAGTAAGTCACTTAGCCTGTTTAATCTTTGTACTTACAATTTGAGACACAGACAACATTTCTTTTCTTTTCTTTTTTTAAAAAAGGGGTCTTCTTACCTCCAAAATCATGGCTAAACCAAATGTGGCTGTAGGAGAATTGAACATGACACGTGAAATTACACTTTATAGTGCATTACTCGCAGCCTTTTACACTCACTCCTAATGCATGTCAATGGCCAAACGAAAACATCCACCAACCCTTCAAACTTGATGTTTCCAAGATAAGAACATCAAAATATGCAATTCTAATAAACATCAAAATCTAAATGGGAGTTAAAATTGCAAATCAGAACTTTACTAAGATGACATAATGTTGTTACAAAACCATTTTGGAAACAGATTCACAATGTCACACAACAGCTAAAAAAACCAAGGTATCTCCAATTTTATAATACTCCGGTCACCTTACCACTTCATCTAGTTCAATTCAATCTCTCAGCAGAAAAAGGATCATTGAAGTAACTATCTATATCCCAGTTGCATGATTGAAAATCCTCATTGACAAGATGGGAAATATCACTGAAATCGGACTCTTTTCCATTAGTTTCAGTGAGAAAATTAGTTTCAAAATTGAAATAACAATCAGAGGATGGTGAATGCGAGTCTAAAAACAAGAAATTATCTTCCAAACTTGGTTCTTCTATACCCAAAACATCTGTTTCTGAAACTTCTTCCCACGTAAGTTCCTCATGCTGATGTCCGAGCACAGAAGTGGGTGAAGGCAAATGAGAGTCTTTACTTGAATAACTCCCACCACTCACATTCTCAACCAAACCACTCCCACTATCTTGAGATTCATTATAACCATAATCAAAAAGTACAGCACCCCTGTGAATGTCTTCCCTTGTAGGAGGAGGACTTATGAAATTGGTGAGAGCATTGGAGCCTCTAAAGCTAATAGCTGCTTTGTCATAAACCATGGCAGCTTCTTCAGCAGTATCATAAGTCCCTAACCAGACTCTTGTTCGCTTGACAGGATCTCTGATTTCTGCTGCCCATCTTCCCCATGGCCTTTGACGAACTCCTCTAAGCTTCTTTCTAAGACGTTCTTCTGTTTTTTCCTTATGAAGTTGTTTCACTGCCACACTGGTTGGAGGCTTCTTCTCCACAATTCTGATCTCATTCACAATCTTCTTTATTCTAGGATGGTTAACCAATCCTTCATCTTCATCTTCATCTTCATCGTCTGTGGCATATGGATCCATCAACGAAATCCGGACTACCTTTGGTGTTTCATTCAAAACGCCATGTTTGACATGCATGTAAGTGACAACTTTCTCCTCCTTCAGTCTGGGTTCCATGGAGTGAAGGAAGCAAAGAGAGTCCTCACACAAGTAGAAGTGTACAACTTTCAGTCATGGACATATCACTTTTATGGTCCTTTTGTGACACACCCTCCCTGCTCTGAATTTTTTATAATTGCTTATAGACTATGATTTCAATTTTTTTTTTCTTTTCAAGCCTCTCTTTTCCTTGTATAATAGTTTCTTCCTCTTTTGTAGGTCCTTATAAGTTGTTATGCCACAAAAAATAAAAAAATTAACGTACTCTTCCATTTCAATTTATATCCTTATAACATTCATTTTTTTATATAAAAATATTGTATTATCAAATAAATACTTAATTTCAAAAAAAATGATAAAGACAAATGTTTGATGAAAATGAGTGTATATGAATCATGATCGTTTGTTATCATTTGAAATATTGATCAATGTAATAGACTTATGATATTTACCATTTAATTCTATCTTAAAAATATTACTTTTATTTTTGTACACTTGGTTCAAATATTGTAAGATACTGCATAAGATTAAAAATTGAACAATACAATATTAAAAAATATACTAATAATTACAACTAAATGTTAACCAAAACTGATTTTAAATATAAGTTACAAGAGTTTGAAATTAATGAAAATCAAAACACAAATATCTCAAAATATTTATTTAAAATTAATTCAAAATTTAAATTAAAAGTACAAGAATATGGATTGATATTGAAGTTTTTAAAAACTGCCTCTCCACGTCTATTTAGATATGAATACAATTTTAATTTTAATCTTTGTATTTTGTTCTCTCCACATTTTGATTTCTCATCTTCAAAATAGTGATTTATTGATTGAAAGAATTCATAAATTTAATCAAATCCTCAATTTTGTCTGAATTTATTTATTATATTTAATTTAATTTAATTAGTTTTTATGATACTTTAAATCAGTATATTTGGTTTGCAATTAAGTTAAATCAAGATAAAATATACATTTTTTCAATTAATTTTTTTCTTTTATTTCGTCTCATTATTATTTTTAATATTAATTTAATTTATTCTTAAAAAAAAAGTTAATATAATTCCTTTTGTTGATACTGAAAATGTAATGTGATACTTTGTGATATTAACTGTATCTTAACATAACATTGAATCAAATTACCATCCCATCAGCATATATGTTATATTCACTCACTTAAAAAGAAATAAATTAACATTAAGATTAATAATTAGACAAAATAAAAATATAATAAAAAAAAACATTTAACTTAAAATATATTAAAAAGTAAGGTTTTTTATTAAATTTACAAATTTATTAAATTAGAAGATCAAAGATATGTTTGGTGTAAAGTAAATTTTTTACCACGGTTTACATCAGGTCTTTTTGGATCAAGCTTTCAGCTAAAGTTTTGATATAAATGACCAACAATTCATGATAAAGGATGAACTGGATTTCTTAAAACTATTTTCCAAACTCTTTTTGCAAGATACCCATTGGTATTTGAATGAAACTAATTATTTTAATCATGTTTGTGGTGTCAAGAAAGATGTTTAATCTATATATATATATATATATATATATATATATATATATATATATATATATATGACAAGACAGAGAGAGAGACAACAAATGAAGGAGATGGGTTCGAGAAAGTATGCTAGACATCCCAACCAATTACATTCTTATAATAAGAAACCAATTTTCTTGCACAAATAAGAATGTATATCTCTTCTTTGTTTGTGGTTAGAGTAATGCAAATCACTCTTCCACTAACTCAAAACATAGAGATACCACAATTTGTTGGTCTTTCCCAACCAAATAAAAATAAATAAAATCACGTTTTAGTGATAAATAGACAATGATAGAAATGACCCTCGAAATAACTTCGTCTTTGATTTTTGTTCAGATGTGTTTAAAAGTGTCTAATTCATGAATTCTTTTAACTTTTGAGACACCTTTATGAAATGAGAAAAATTTAGTTGTTGGTGCTTGAAACAAACAACTAAATCAAAATTAATTAAATTTAGTTTATAGTAGGCATCCATGACACAACTTTACACCTTACAGAACAAAAGATGATTATATAGTCAATACCATAATATAGTTTTAGTATATTTATCCATATAATGAAATACATAGCTATTACTATAAAGTCATAAAAAAGTGAAATATTCGTAAGAAATCCAAGTAATCTCTAAGAACTAGGAACCATCTTAGTGTGCAAAGATAAATAACTGTGAACGACACTGAAGAACATCAGTTACTGATATTTCCCTGCACTCACAGGAGAAGTTTCATACAAATAGACTAAAAGTCCTCCCTATTGTCTTCATAGATATGTATGTGGCAACATGAGACCTATCCTCGATATAAGTCAACAAGGGGAATTGAAAGATAGATTATACATTAATGTCTTTTAACAAATGGAAGGAACACGTCCTATCCTATAATATAAGGCCTCACTCCAACATGCTAGCCCATTGCGTACTTCTGAGTCCAGCTCCTAGCAGTCGTCTCATACTTGGACCTGTCTGTCTTATACATATGAGCAATTTCAGGGACCAAGGGATCATCTGGGTTTGGATCTGTCAATAGGGAGCAAATGGAGAGCAACACCTGAAAAAGGAAATGGAACCCTTCCTACCCATTTAAAAAACAGCTATAGTCCAAAGAAACTGCAAGCATACATAATACATTGCAATGGGAGCCTTCCAATGTTTCTCCCAGAGAAAGTTTCCCAATAATAAGTATGTGTATGAAGCACAATAGAATATATATATATATATATATATATATATATATATATATATATATATATATATGAGAGAGAGAGAGAGAGAGAGAGAGAGAGAGAGAGAGAGAGTCATAACATAAGAAATGTAAGAAAGCACCCTGCTATTGGGTGAAATTTATTAGAAGTCATAAAATTAGCGGGTTCCAATTCATATTTAATGAGTCTCATTCAAGATTTTACAATTCCTAAAAACATTTAACAAATAGCTGAGAGTGCATTAGATAGACTATGTTGCTAGCACTCCTCTCCATAGCATACTTATCCATCAATATTCAGGATTATGGCAGACAAATGGTAACCATGTCCAACAAGACGCTAAATGAACTTTTGGATTTTTCTACCAATTATTGTATATTCTTTGGCTTAAAAGTTTTTGTGATTATATGCATTGTTGCAGTATTGCAAAACTATCTTTCAATACCAATTATTTGTATATTCTTTGGCTTAAATTTTTTTGTTATTATATGCATTGTTGCTGTATTGCAAAACTACCTTTCAAACACAAGTGAAACCAATTGAAGATTAGCGTTAAAAAGTTTAGTACAGTCATAACCTTAGATATTGTCAAGGCAGGGCTCCACTGCTCCTTTAAGATATCGAGACAAATGCTACCATTGCTGTTGATATTTGGGTGAAAAACTTTAGTCCTAAATGCAACCTGCAAGAATTAAAGTAGACATAAAGAAAAAGAAGGATTGAAGCATTGAAAAAATTGAGCTTTATGTGAATAGGGATTCGCATCTAGTGAGTAGTAACAGTGAACACAAAAGGAAGTCACTGGAAAAGCTAATTTAATTTTCCTAAACATAGAAGAGAGGCTAACACATTCTTTCCAAGAAAATAATTAAAATCTAAATTCTGAAATATCAAATAAAAAAAGCAAATCCAAATCATGAACTAGAGAATCTATTCCGTTCTGTCTTTAAGGTGCAAACCACAGACTCCTTTTAAATGATAGCAAGGTAAAGTTAGAGTAACAATACCAGCCTTCAGTGGCAGAAACCACCGCAAATTCATTTGCATGCACCATCACTCATGATGAATTGGATGAGTAAAGTATGAAGTTTATGACTATTGATGGAAAAATCAAATGGTTGATATTTTTACAAATTACAAGCACAAGCTATGAACATGTAAGAATTAACTCTCTTCATTTTCTCTTCAACAGTTATTATATTTACACTTTACTCTCTAAACAGCACCCTATCATAGAAAGGATCGGGATCTCTGGGGTGGTCAATGGGTTCTCTGAACCAATAAATCATAGGCTCTTCAGTCGTATAGATCTTGAGTAACCCACCAGTTCCTTGGTCATATCTTCTAATACCTCTCTCCCCAACTGCTCTGATTCCAAAACTTTGGCCTTGAAAGTTAACAGTACTCACTTTTCCAACTTCTTCGGTCCCTTCACTATGCATATCCCAAAACGACATCCACTACTCTTAGTTTTACTCTCCAAGTAGTGGCTACTTCAAACTGGCGTATGATTGCAGAATTCATTGTTTTGCTAGTTTTAAATTTTTATTACTCATTGTCAGATTTTGGTTTTAGTGAGGTAGCTTCATCTCTACAGGTGACTGTTAGAAACTTCATCACGTGAAAGCAGCACATAAGCTGCTCCCCAAAGAGGAAAATTAATATTTGTTTTCAGCCCAACCAAGCAAGCCCACATTGTAACCTTCTGAGCATAAAATAAAACTCAACCATAAGAAAAACTAGAATAGCCCACTACATATATAAAATATCATTTCCATTAGTAAATAGTAAGGAGTCAATAAACTCCCCAAAAATGCCACCAGATTATGATTTTGCACACACATCAATCACTGTTAAATTCCAACATATTACTAGTATAAACATCGCAATCAAGGCACCCATGTTACATTATGGACAAGATTTAACAGCACGGCAAAGCAAGCAAGCATTGGACGATTGAAAAAGCAAAATAAAAATATCTTTACAAATAAAATTCCATGACATCTAATCAATAAATAGTAGGAATAAATCTAAAATTCAGGAAAAATAGAAAATGTAACAATATAAACGGAAAAAAAAGTCCATATTATCCGAGCATAGATATAATAAAGGCAGAATTGTTGAAATTATATTGAGCAGGACTTGAGGAATACCTTGGGTGGCTTGAATGGATAATCAGGAGGAAAATGAATTGTGACTAGAAAAACACCCCCAGCATAAGGACTGTCAGGGGGTCCCATTATAGTTGCTTGCCAATGAAACATATCTTCTGCTACGGGACCTGTGAAGGCAATAAACATTAGAAAACAATAAACTTAACATTCAATTTCAAATAAAGTATCAGACAACAATGTATAATGCCTAACAGACTAAAGAATGGGGCTCAAATAAAATTTTCAAACATATAGACTTACAAACTATATCTTCTTGTTTGATAAATACATTTTTGCAACTGAGAAATAATATCAGCCAAATATAATCATAAAGTGGGAGTTATCTTCCAATGGATTCAACAACCAAAGCAGAGATAATCATAATAGTCTATATATCTACAATCTATGATAGTTGTAGGCAAAAATCTCTGTTAAAGAAGGCGGGTTTCCCTTCAGTAGAAAGAAAGAACACAAAGGGGATTTAGTTTAAAATAAATAAATTCATTTCGAAACCTATTAATAACAAAATTAAGAAACAACAAACTTATGAAGCTCATTATTAATTATTGCCCTTATGAAACAACAAAAGCTTCTGACTAGCAGACAAGTCTCACAAGATATCATATTGACGATAATCTTATAAGGTCAAGACCTGGGATGAGAAGCTCGCAACAAATATCTCATCCTACCTCCTCAAAAATTGTAAATTTATTACATTCACATACGTAAGCCACCATCTAGTAACTATGACAAAAATCGAGAGAAACCCATGAAACACAGAGAGAGAAATAAATAAAACAACGACCCAAATACTTGTAAATTCCAAAACTCGTAGATCGAGCAACATAAGAAGCTTAATTAAAGTTTGGGGTAGATACAACGCGAAAAGGGCAAAAAGAAAAAGAATTTGGTGAAGGAATTGTACCGGCACTGCAAGAGGTTGGAGGATCTTTCTGGAGGTCCTTGAGCTCCTTCAGAATCCGCTTGGAGGCCATCGAAGAAGAACAGAAGAAGATTCACTTTCGATCTACGAAGAAAAGGGAGAGTTGCAGAGAGAGAAGTCCCTCTTGAACGAAACAAAGGAAGAAGAGAAAACCAAACCAAGTTGCAGATATGACTAAGTAAGGAAAGAGACATTAATTAGACAATAGAAATCTGAAATCGCTATCCATTCTTACAAATCTTCCGCGGACAAAACACACACCGTGCTTTTTTCTTTTAATGTTTGAGTTTATTTATTTATTTATTTTTAGAAAGAGTTTATTGATTTTATCTTTCTTTTATTTTTATTTTTCTGCTTTCATTCTTTTATTTTGTCATTTAAGGCTATAATATATAACTAGTTTTTAAATTATATTATTTATTTTAATTACTTATTCTAAAATTTTTTCAATATCTTTCTTTTCTCTGATAAGTTCAAAAATAAATGTATATATGATTGAGAACAAAATAATTGATAATCTTTAAAATAATGATAGATAAAAGAATTAAAAAAAAATCTTATAATTACTTTCTATATTTTTTCCAAATTCAAATTCAATATAATATATGTATATATATTGATAATGTTTAGTGATGTTGTATATGATTTAAATTAGTTGTCTTAAGTGCAATTGGGTTTATGTTTTTATATCCAAAAGAAATATATATTTTTTTCTTTTTAATTTGTTTTCAACTTAATTAAACCTTTTATGTCAGTCAAAGTAATACATTTATTAAAATGATAAAAACTAAATCAATGAAATCATTTTAATTTAAAACTACTTTTAATTTCTATAGCTTTTGCAAATGTCAAATTTTTATTGTATTTGTTCTTTGATATTTTAAAATTTAAAAAAAATTTCATAGTTGATATATTGTCCTCCATTTAAAAAAAGAGAAAAAAAAGTTAACATATCTGTTAGAATAGTGTATGTGTGTGTTTTACGGGTTATTATTATACCTCGTTATTAATCTGTGTTGTAGACGAGTAATTCATATTATTATGCAATATTTTCACTTGGTAATTAGATGAAAAATTAATAATGGGTGCGTAGTTTAAATAAATAAAATATATATATATATATATATATATATATATATATATATATATATATATATATATGATCAAACTTGTAATTGATTTTTTTTTAAACTACATTTTGTGACAAAATTATATAAACTAAAATTAGATTTAAGTAAATTATTTTAAATTGATATATTTTTTAAAATTTGTGTTAAACAGCCTGCAATTATTAGGAGCATAGAGAGTATCAAATTTGGTGATGGCTCACTGTAAAAAAAAAAATTGTGTTGAATTACAGTAAATTTATAATTTAATTGGTGTTATGCATGTGTTATTAAGTGACTTTATATATTACCCCTTCGTTTTAGAGTATTACTATTTAATATTATAACACAATAATAAACAAAATCATTTATATAAAATATAAAAAAAATATCATCGTAAATGTAATTAATTGATTAATCTTAATTATACGCAAAGCTATTATATAAAATAACTATTAAAAGCTAAAAGAACTATTAATTTTAAGAAAAAACTATTATTTTGGAATGGTTTTTTTTTTCAGTGAATTTTGTTTGGATAAAATAGATATTTGAATTCGTATTAGAGTTGTTAAAATAAAATATTCTTATAAATCGATTAAAAAACTATGTATCAAATATATTAGTTAAAAAAATCATCATCTAAACTAAACACAATTATTTTTTATTTCACCTGTTTAGTTTATTTTCAAAATGGCCAGTCTAATCTATAATAAAAAATATATTTTAAAAATAAATATTATTATGCATATTATAATTTATATATCGAATTATTCTATATTAATTTTTATAAATTGAAATTTTAAAAATACTATCTTTAAAATTATTCTTTTATTTTTTTAATAAAAAATAATCTATTTGATTTAACATTAAAAAAAAATATATTTTAAAACATAACTCAAGTTAGACACTCTGGTATGATTTCCTACGTTGATTTTCACATTAATTACGTGAGGCTTGATCTCTCTACCAGTAAAATTAAATATTTATACAATTTTTAGTATTCAAACCTATCTTGGTGAAGAGATGTTATCTTTAAATGATAGTTTAGAAGAGTTTCTAAACCACTATAGTAATTGGTATTCACCTTTTTTAATTTTTCTTTTTAAATAAATTGCATGATTAGTCATTTTAACTAACCATCCCATCCAATTCAGATGAAACAATTTAAAAAAAATATCAAAGCCAACTCATAACACTTTATATCTCTAACATAATAAATTTACGCGTAAATATGATTTTCGTAGGTTTTAATATTTTTTATTTCTAGTATAATAAAAAAAAGAACTGACTTGATTTTATACAAAAATTTATTTGTCTGGATTTCAATGAGAGACTCGGACATATAACAATTATTTACTTCACATATATTTCAATTTATAGTAATTTGTTAGTATATTAACTAAAAGGAAAATATTTTTTACAATCGATTTTGTCAGATATATTTCTTCAACAACTGAAAATAATAATATAATATTATTATTTATTACTATATTATTATTTATGGCTGTTGATTGGAAGTATGGGCTATATAAATATCACAGCCCTAACTAAATTTTGATTACATCACGATTTGGCTCATCAAATGATTTTAATATTTTTATTAACGATATTTAACATTACATTATCACTCAAACATCAGAGATGAATAAAGCAATACATAGAAAAAAATGCTTATTTCATATATATAATTAAAAACACATAGACATTTTTAATATATATTATATAATGTAATGAAGATGGAAACTAAGGTTATTATTATTATTATATTTTATTTTGCTTTTGCTTCAATTCACTCACATTATTATTATTTCTGTTTTTTCAATTTGGGAGTTGGATAGCATGTAATGCTCAAACAACTTCCACATCGCTATCCCAACGAATTCCTCTTTCTCTACTCCATCTCTATCCAAAAGGCTACAGGTTAAATCTTTTGTTTAATTTTCTATTGGAAAAGTTAATGAAGTGAGCGTAGTTCCTATCTATCATGCACCACATGCAATGCTTTCCCATCACACACAAATTAAACCCAAAATGCATTATTACTTTACACCAAAATAATTAGGCACAAGGTAGCAGACCTAACATCCCTCTCTTCCTACATGCTAGCTTTCGCCTACCACTTCTCTTTCTACCACAGTTTACCAATGAGAATGATACGTTCCACCTTAAAAAAACTACCATTTATACTTACTCTAGTTAATTTACAAGGGGGAAAAAACTGAGTTCCTCCACCAATCCATGCCCCATCATATTGTTTTTTTTTATTATTATTATTATTCAAATGAGAAGTGAACACTTTCTCGAGTGCTTATGATTCCTATCACCAACCACACAAAAAACGATAAATGTTTTGGTCAAATACAAACTCATGTATTGGACTTATGTGCATCCCACTTCGCGTCTGGGAGAACCAGTAGCAAGTTAAACTGCTGTACAAGAGGCCCTTTTTCTTTTTTCTAAGCAAAGAATATTACATTTCTTTTTTACATTTTATTCTTCCTTTACTTTGGAAAAGTGAAAAAAAGAATATAAGAAATAATTTAGATACAAGCGCACAAAATCTTCACCTCTAAATGACGCGCAGTGAGCATCAATCCGCATATGTATAGATCGCATCTCCAACTCATCGTACTTTGATCCTGTGGTCCATCCAAAGCGAAGCAACAACATCAACATTAGGCCAATATACTCATCCTCACTCCCCATTCCCAGAAATAGAAACAAAAACGTATTATTAGGCCATCCAAGACCACCTTAACATGCATTCCAAGAGAATATAGATTCAAATCCAAAAGCCACATTCAAGGTCGTCAATGAAATACTACCCTATTGCCAATGAAAAGCCAATGAAAAGCTAATGAAATCTGAAAATCCATCAATGCATGAAAAGTGACTGCTGAACATTAATTGGATTTACTTGTTCTTATTGCACATTAAATTATGCTGCACATTCATGAAAGAAAAACTTTACGCTGTTATACAATCCACCCTACCTATAATGAATTTTGTATTTTGGTGAATAATTCACTATATTCAATACAAAAACACATAAGTTTGTTAGTGTACGGCACAGCTTATAAGATTCATCACGTAGATAGCAGTTGGCCGGTTAGAGAAAGTTTTTAATATAACCAAATAGAAAGCCAGGTCTTCAATTCCCCCACACGTGATGTTTTGGTGTTTTTATATATATTATACATAAAAGCTACGTATAAGTCATGTTATTGTACCAGCATCAAAACTAAGAATTAACATACGTAACAAGTGCATTGAAAAGTTGTGATCCATACACACACGTAGTGATCAAATTCCTGATAAGTGCAAAACATAGATATCTGATATAAAATGTGTCACACCAAGACGGTATGCTAGCACCCAACAGCAATTAAGAAACGAGTATGAACATAGGTTACCATTTGAGGAGTGTGATGGTGCAAAGGGGAGGGTCTCCTTTTTCAAGTTTCCTCATGGTCACACCTCCGCAGACAACAGTGATGGTGATGGAGGGTGACTTCCAACCCTGCAAGCCCACACCGGTGTTGGTTCGAACCCTCACTGTGGGGATCAATGCTTTGCTCTCCACCGTCCCCTTAAGCCTTCTCCTCTGCCGGCCATCCAATGCAAGCTTCCTCACTTTCGTCTCCGCCTTCACCTGCGCCAGGCCCTTCGATTTCACGGTGAACCCCGCCACCTTCGACGACCCCAGACGCAGGTCCCCGTTATCCGCGGACACTGAGAACTTGATCTTCCCGAAGTGCCACGACATCTTACCGCTCCGGTTCTTCACCTCCACCCGCGTCGCCGTGTCGGCGTCGAGGTAGGCTCCGTCGCCGCTGTCGGAGACGTTGAGCTTGGGGACGCGGAAGGAGGCGAGGTGGAACTTCGGCAGGGCGGGCTCGTAGAGAAGGTAGAAGATGCCGGCGGCGATGACGAAGACGAGGAGGAGGAGGAGGAGGATGATCCAGAAAGTGCAGCAGCATATGCGGCAGCAGCCCCGTCGCTTGGTTTTGGGGCGGAAGGAGGGTGGGAGGACGGGCTTTCGCGGGGGCTTAGGCGGCAGTTGAGAGTTGGGGTCTCGGTAGCCGGGGGGTTTCTGTAGCATTGGTTGGGGTTTGGGTTTGGGTTGGGAGTTGGGGTCTCGGTAGCCGGGGGGTCTGTGTAGCACTGGTTGTGGTGGGGGTTGGGTTACAGATTCTTCCATGATGGTTGGAATGAGAGAAGGAAATGGGAATTGTGGAAGGAAAAGAATCAATTGAGAGATGTGGTGGAAATGGAATGGTGTTTGAGAAGGTAAATGAATGCAGGAGTAAAAGGGATGGAGATATGGAAGGCGATGGACATATTTGGTAGTTTGTTGCGGGGAAATGATATTGGAATGGAAGATGATGAAAATGCTGGGGAATTGAAGATGAATTGTGTCGGATCGGGAATGATAACGTGATGTGGTGAGGCGGGGGAGAGGATGAGGAGGAAGAGGACAAAAGAAGAATGTTGAGTGAGTGAGTGAGTGAGAGAGAGAGAGAGAGAGAGAAAGAAGACAATCTCAAAATGGTAGGAGTATTTGAGCGAGAAGCGGGAGTGAGTGGAAAAGGTAAGGCTGGAAATGAGCTGTGGGGAGATACACACGTCGCCGCTTTTTGTTTGGTAGTGAGTAAGTGTGTGAGTGACGTCATGACATGCCCCATTGCCACTGTCAGTTTTTCTTTTACTTTTTTTTGCTTCTACTTTCCTTGTTAGGCTTAATTACTTCCGGGATTCCATGCACCTTGCAATTCACATAATTAACTGCATCATCATACATTAACTGATTTTGTTTTCTCCACCCCTATTTTATACCAACTTGCTAATTTTAATCCTCTAAATTTATAAAAAATATTTTAATCCCTAAAAATTATAAAATATGTTTTTAATACTTAATCATTATATTCGAAGGATTGGCTCTTTAAATTTAGTGTTTAAGAATGAATATCATATTTTATTACTAAAATTCCTTCAATTTTTAAAGGATTCAAAGATGCGATGGATAAAATGAATTACAATACGTTTTATTTTTCATAAATTGGAGCTAATTTTTCTTTTAAGTTTTTATTTTTTTACAATTCAAATTATAATGTTAAAAATGTCTTCAACTATAATTACTTACAAGAATTCAAAAAATATATATACTATTTGAAAATAAATTCTACATATGTTTTTTTTTTTAAATTCAATAAAACTGTTTAATATTAAAAAAGATTGACTCATGCTATAAGTATTTTTTTTCAATTTTAAATATAGTTCATATTAACATAGTATTTTTATTTATAAATAAATATTGTAAATGTATCATTTATAAAACACCTTAAATTTGTAAATAAACATACATATTGGATGTTTTAACTATAAAATGTGACTACTTCACAATTTCATCGTTAATACGAAGTGTTTTAGTAAGAAACATAAATTGTATTTTATTTTATTGAAAAATAAAATGAATGGCATGCGTGTTGATAAATATTAAGTATTTATTTTGAATAAATATTTTTCTTAACAAATTACTCTCAATAATTTAGTTGATACTTACTGGTTAATTTAATATATATATATATATATATATATATATATATATATATATATATTAACAATAAAAATGTTCAAGCAATCCACCTCCTCCTGTTTGGAGGATTAACCAATTGGATTTTGAAAAAAAAAAAAAACTCATCTGAGAATATAATCAATCTTACCGTCATGTTTTTACTAAAGTGGTGGTAAATAAAAAACTTAACTATATTTAAATTTCTATATTTTATAAAATCTACAAATTTTCTATTATAATTTGTTGTAATTTTGATTCTCTTGTTTTATTTTACGAAATTTTGGTCGTATATTTCACTGTATTTGTAATTTTGGCATACCTACCTATCTTTAAAAATAAAAAAACGACTTATCTCAAATTCATATATAAAAACACTTTAAAAATAATTAATAATTTTGTAATTTTTTTGATATACATACAAAAATGATTTCTTTCAAATTATTTAAAAATAAAATTACAAATAATTTAAAATTAAAGAATTAAAATTGTAAAAAATAAAAAAAGTCTTAAAAATATAAGAATCAAAATTGTAAAGAGAAATTATAACCAAAATTGTAGATTTATTTATTTCAATATAAAAATATATTGAAATTGAATTAAAAAAAATTTTAAGTTCCTTTTTAGTCAACACATTTTATTCAATAGCTCAATTTTTAAACCAAAAACTCTAATCACCTCATAAAAATAGTTAATTTTATTCTAAAAATAAATCCTTTCCCCCAAGGTTGAAATGGTTGAATCCGGGTTCAGTTCGGCTAGTATTTTATTTTATTTTTCCAGTCAAATTTAATCGCAAAACAGTGGAACCCTGACTAGACTACACCCCATTGCAGTACACATACCAACTTCCGATCTCGCCGGCGCCGCACTTAGCGTTACAGTCACCGTCAGTTCTCGCCCTTATTCAGGTACCTTTCCTTCTCTTTCTCTATTGGGCATCAAAGTTCGAAGCCTTTCAATATTTGCTTTCTCACGTAGAGTGACTTGCTGTGTCACCACTCACCACCCAATCCTCTTTCTGTTAAATGGCTCAATTCTGCAAAATCTGACCATTTTGTGCAATGATTATTTGTGTAGAAGATATCAATCTTTTGCTTTGAAACCAAAAAAACATAAAGTAAAACAAAACCACTCCAGCTTGTTGTCATTACCGTTGTGCATACTTCTCATCTATGTCTCGTGATTTTTGTTGCCATAGATTCACCTGAGGATGGAATATGTCAGCCCAGAAGGACTTCGCCTGGATGGTCGCCGACCCATGGAGGTATTTTTTTTTATGGCCTCTTTTTTCTCCTTCTTCTTTATTTAATTTTCATTTTAATTTAAAAGTTTCATTAGATTTGTCAAAAATACTAATGTAGCTGAAGCTGTAGAAGATCCCATAGAAATATGATCAAGATCAAATTATAGTACATAAGTAGAGTACAAACCTTATTTTATAAGCCGAATTTGTAGGATTATATTAGATAATTATAGATTATTGAAGCTTTATGTTAATTAGTATATATAGATTTGTAGATAGTACTGCATATGGGTTACACACAGTTTAGCCATGGTAATGGAAATGGAATGAAAATGGGTGGAGAAAATGGAGGGTAACTTTTTTTAGTGTGTTATGAGGTAGGGCAATGACCAAGTGGGCAATGACCAACTGCACAGTTTTATGGTCTGGCCTATGGAATTCAGTCCAATTTGACCGCTCCTTCTTTCATACATGATTTTGGGATTAAACTATTCAAAATTAGGGATGCACTCTAGAGGATAAGGTGAAGTTATCACTGTTTATTAAAAAAATAGTAGTTTAGATTGTGATAAATTATATGTATCACAAACTATGAGATGTTATTACTGCACTTTATCCTCTAAAGTGCTCTTCCTTCATTATAGAGGATCTAAATATATGATTTTGTAGGATCTAAATATATGATTTTGTATTTCTTTCTCTCCTGATCTTTGCCCTTGCCATTTTCTTCCTTTTTATGGTATATCCTAGATGCGGCAAATTCGGGCAGAGATTGGTGCTGTGTCCAAAGCAGATGGGTAAATGAATTTTATCTTTTATAGAAAATTAAGTTGTGATTTCATTTGAAGCATTTGACAACAATTATTTTATTTTATTTTTTTTCTTTTTGAAACCAGTTCTGCGATATTTGAGATGGGTAATACCAAAGTTATTGCTGCTGTGTATGGGCCTAGAGAGGTACTATTTAATTATTTACCTTGCTTATGAAAATTTGTCTACGTAATTTGAGGATAGATAAATATCATTTTTCAGTGTTAGTTTAAAAAAGCTTTAATGTAGTATTTGAGCTAGAGATGATTTTCTGTTTTTCTTAAGTGACCCCTATGCATTTCAGGTGCAAAATAGGAGCCAAATAAGCAACCATGCTCTGGTAGTTTTCTTCTTTCAAGTTGTAATATGTTGAGTGTATTTATATGTGCATTGTTACAAAACTTAATTGCTGCTCATGTGCTATGTATGTCTGTAGGTTCGGTGTGAGTACAGCATGGCTAATTTTAGCACTGGAGATCGCATGAGGAAATCAAAGGGTGACAGGTTGTACTCATTCACTTGCTTTTCTTCAACTTCCTATTCTTTTTTACTTTTTATTTGATTTTTTTATTTTTTTATATTCATAGTTTCTTAACTTATAGACTGTTATAATGATAGTGAATGTTGCATTATAAATGTGACTATTAATTAGGAATATGTTTATTTTTACCTTTTTAGTTTGTTTTTTTGCATATATGCATATAATACAGTGAAAAGCAAAATCCCAAGCACCATTACTGCCCTCTCTCATTTTTTATCTTTTCTTCAAACTTTAACTTTTATGAGTAATCTTTGACCAAAATTTGTGAGTAGTTTTGAATGGTTTAGGGCTATCAATATTTGTAGACATACATGATATCTTGTTTTGCTTCTCCTTTATAGTTTAAATATGGTTCTCATTGTAAGGTTCTCTTACACAACGATGATAGGATGACCCCTTGTTTTTTACAACTTTTTAATGTGTACTATTTTTCATGGTACAGGAGATCAACTGAAATTTCTCTGGTTATTCGGCAAACTATGGAAGCATCTATACTGACACATCTACTGCCTCGATCCCAGGTTTTATTGCACGAAGAACTTATTTTGTATTAATGTAAATTTCATTTTCCCCCTAATGATTTGGTTATTAAATTTGCAGATAGATATTTATGTCCAAGTTCTACAAGCAGATGGAGGTAACTAAGACCTTTTAATAGGATCTTCTGATTCTCTTCTCTCATTGCCATTTTATTTTCTCTCTTTTACTCTTCTAATTTGTCTGTTAATTTTTGGTGATGTTGACATGTCTTTGACAGGAACTAGATCTGCTTGTATAAATGCTGCAACTTTGGCCCTTGCTGATGCTGGTATTCCTATGCGTGATCTTGTGACTTCCTGCAGTGCTGGATACCTTAATAGCACCCCTCTGCTTGGTATATATCTGTTTTTACTGGAAATTTTAACTAGCAAAATACAAGGGTGGTGTGTCTTCTTTTATTTCAGTCAACTTCAGATGCACAGGCTATCCTAATTATTATAAGTTTCTGAATGAATGTGTACAGATTTGAACTATGTAGAAGACAGTGCTGGAGGTCCTGATGTAACTCTGGGAATTCTGCCAAAACTTGATAAAGTGACGCTTCTTCAGGTTAATTTTCTCTCTATTTATTTGGTAGTCAACAGAGTAAACTAGTTCAAGAGAAGCTTCCTGCCAGACTCTTAGACCTAAATTATGGTGGATATTGCTTGCATATTGTTAAAGTTCCTACCCTCCATACCCTCGATATTTAACCCTTTTTGTAGATGCCTTGAGCCCTTGAGATCCATCTTCTTTCAACTATTGCTTTCTCTGTCATTGGTACTCACTGTGGTAAAAAGCCTGTTGGTTTTGAAGCTGTTATCCCTCTCCCTCCTTCCAAAATTGTTCTCATTATTAGACTTCAAGAATTTCAGATTTGGCTCATTTGAAGTGATGGATGTACTTTAGAGGGAATAGTAGAGTTTTAACCCTTGATTAGTCAAGGGAGTAGGTGCATGGTCGGAAACCCCCAAAGTAAGCTTTATTTAAGCATGCATGAGATTTAACTACTTGATAGTTTGTTGTACACGTGAATTTATTTTTCACAACCGGAATTGTTTTTTAATCGACAGATATAGTTTCATTTTCATTTCTATAATGCATCCATCATTTTAGAGAAGTCAAATTCAAATCTAAAATTTTCTTGATAGTTTGTGCCTATACCCTTTAATGAGTGTTGGATGAATCTTCCTTTTAGTATGATTTATTGTTGTTGTAACTTTATTTCCCTCATGGCATCATACTTGCTAACACTTAATTTGGGAATTCCAGTTTAATATTTTATTTTCTTAGTTGCTGAGCTTTTGTTAGTTCTTTAGATTTAGACTGAAGAAAAATACTAGCTGTTAGAGCTTTTGTTAGTTCTTTAGATTTAGACTAAAGAAAAATACTAGCTGTTAGAAATACAGATCAAGAGGGGATGAATTGATCTAATAAAAAACTTTTCGCAACTTTTGAGTATAGATTATGAATTTTAAAGATTTAAGAACCCAATCAATTCTTGAACCAAATAACAACAATCTTGAACGAAAGAAAGAGATGAAAGAAAAGCAAGAACACCAAGTTTATACTGGTTCACCCAATCCACTGGGTTATATCCAGTTATCAACCAAATTTCAGTTGAATTCCACTAATCAAATACCAATTTATCACAAGAACAGGTTATAGAAAATCAATATACACCAAAAACTTTAATCCAGTTCTTGAACCTATGACAACAACCACAATTCCAACTGCTTAGACCCAGGGCCCACAATTCTAGACACCAAAAATACAATGAATCGGATGAAGAATTAAGATGCTTGAAGAAACTACAACATTCAAATCAATATGCAAATGCAAAGATACAAACACAGAATGAGTTTTCTAAAAAATAAGAACAAAAAGCCTCAAGAAATATTGCAAAAGAATTTTAATGAGAAAGACACATTTCTCTTTTGGAAAATATCTCTAAAGATTGCTTGAATGATTTCTCAAAGATGTGTTTTGAAAAGTTGGTGGAAATCTGTTTATATAGAGATTTTTCTAACTAACTGATGTGATTAATCGATTAATTTGCACTTTAATTGATTAAAACAACTTAACTTAAATGATTTTAACTAATAAAAATGCCTTTTAATCGATTAAAAAGATTCTACCAATTTTTCTCAAGATGTTTTAACTGATAATAACGTGATTTAATCGATTAAAACAATTTTCTGGATATTTTCTAGAGGCATTTTAAATTATGAAAACGAGGTTTAATCGATTAAAAATATGATACAAAAATTGTCTAAGTATTTTTAATCGATTATTTCAAAGTTATATCGATTAAAATCCTGGCAGAAAGTTTTCTAAAATTTCTTAAGTAAATTTTATCGATTATTTTGAATATATATTAGTTAAAATTCTGGCAGAAAGTTTTTTAAAACTTCTTAAGTGGATTTAATCGATTATTTCGAAGATATAGCGATTAAAACTGCAACAGAAAGTGTTTTCAAGTTTTTTAGGCGATTTTAATCGATTATTTTGAAAATATATCAGTTAAAACTACAATTGAAGAACATAGATTTTTTTCAGATTAAAAATACTTGAGAAACTTTATATTTTGTAAAAGACAGAAACTCATGTTAGGGGATATGATAAATACTTATACCTATACAATATAGACGTAGACACACTAATGGACTAACACAACATCTTTTTAATAACTTCTTTTGACTTCATCAAATCTTCTTGTCCAGACTTCTAAGATTCTTCTTATTAGCTTTTTCATTACTAGCAACATACTTGATATATTCTTTCCGCCACACTATTATAGGATGAAATTCATGTATGATCTACATAACTGAGAGGGTGTCGCTTCATTTGGTGGGGCTCGCATGCATCCGATGGTAGTGTATCGGTCAGTTTATTGCTAGCATTCCTTTTAGATTGATATTATGTAGTTGTATTTGTTTGAAACATGTGGCACTATGTAAAGGCTGATTGAGATTGAGAACCTTGAAAATTTTAATCAGAAATTTACCACTATCATTATTATGAAGAGCATGCAATGCTTTTATAAATCAGCTTATTTCTTTCGAATTTTCTCCGGTATCCACTCCTTGCCACATTACGTTGTTTAGAATGGAAAAGCTCCTAGTTTAATTTTATTTGCACTAATTTCTTTTATTACTGTTTATAGATGGATTCTAAACTTCCAATTGACATTTTGGAAAATGTTATGCAACTGGCAATTGAAGGCTGCAAAGCAATAGCAAACTATATTCGAGAAGTAAAAACCTGTTATCACCTTTGTGATTATACTAAGAGGAGTCAAAATATGTTTTACATTCATTTCATAGCTTAAACACTGATTTCTTTGTTGGTTGGCAGATTTTATTGGAAAACACAAAGCAACTAGAGTATCGACGAGGTGTATAGTTTTATAGCAGATGTAACGTTTCCTCCATGACAGATTTTTTGTTGGTTCATGCTCGTGCATGTTGCTATGATTACCATTGCCTATGGTCATGGTTTTCCAGATTTGTAGGTTCATTCTTTCAGTGTTTGTGTATTTTTCGTTGTGGATAAGAATTTTCTTGTGTTTAGGTGGAAACAGTTTTGTTTTTAGCGTACGGTGCTTAATGAAACGGAAATGTGTGTTGTAGAATTTGTTTCTCATTTCTGCCAACTTGTCATGTCGACTAAGATAACAAGTTTATGATTTATTCGACCACGTTCCTGATATACACAAACCCCCCAAAAGTAGTGGAACTAGTGATCTGGCACATAAACAAATGAAAATTAATAATTGAAGTGAATCAAAATCATTAGCGGATTGGTTGAGTGTTACATGGTGGTTGCATCCTCAAAGAACAAAGCAATGGCAACACCATTGACAATTTAATTGCCAACTTAATTTCAATGCTTAGTTTCCTAAATTGTACTTTTAGATCAACAGTTATTAATGGTTGTATTGCAGTTAAGCCTTAATGGAGCGAGTTAAACTGATATAATTATAGTAACTAATCTTCCAAACTTCTTTTTGAATAAGTATGTAACAGTTGCATACTGAAGTTTTTTGTTACAGAAAAACAGGGTTGAATGCTGGGTTTGACATAGCATTGATGATACAATAATGGCATTTTCATAATATCATTTTCTTTGGTACAGGAGTTGTCAAAATTTTATATTGAATAATATTTATAACAAAAAAAAAAAGCTATAAAGTAAGTTTGAAGTAGTGTGAAAATATGATCGAAGACATTTTAACTTCTTAAAAGAAATCACTAGAGAATAATTACAAAATTAAAATAATTATAAGAGTACAGAAGAACATATAAAACTGACAGTCACTTTGACCAGCGAACATCACGTCTTGTAAGCAAATTAATTTTAGATTGTTAGTTTTGGAATAAAGTGTGACTAGGCTCATTGGAAAGAAAAGTAGCCTCAAAAGTAAATACGATCTATAGTTCCTATAGCCACCCAGAATGTCTCGTATCTTAGCAACTACAACCTTTTAATGCATACTCTCCGAGGTCCCATTTGTACAAAGCAAGAGACATGCTAGTGTTTTTGACGCACCACTTTTGACCCACTTTATTGAATGAAAACAAGAATTCAATTACTACATAATCAATACCAGAACTTTTGACCAATGTCATTCAATTGTAAGTATCATTTTTAATAAAACTATTGACTTCTAGATTACTTCAAAAGTCATACTTAAAGTATTCCCACATTGTTCATTAACCACCACTCGTTAAATCTGTGTCATGAGAGGTCGACCATGTCATGTTCCCAATTATCCTTTCAAGCACTAAATCCAACCATCCAACGTAAGCAAATTATCCATGCCGCGGAACATATAAAATCCATCCAGAGAATAAACTTGGCACTTACACAACAAATCTAGCGCTTAAAGATGGAGAATCCATGACAGAACTCAACAACTAATAACCTGGTAACACTGAAAGCCATTCTTACAAAAAACATAGGCCTCTCTAACGCACTATTTTTAGCCTAAAATCACAACGACATAAAACCTGACACTCCTAAAGAGCACTATTTCTACAACTCATTGCTGGATGTAGTAGCATAAACTCAGACCCATTTTGTACAATTCCTCAAAGACCACTTCTGTCAAGATCCAGACGGTCACTGCAAAAACTTGACGGCACAACCGATAGCTGCAGCCGCCCGGTCCATTCCTCTCCCGGCTTCAAGCTCACCGGTTTCTCTATCACCGCCCCATCAACACAAAGCATCTGTTTGTACTCTTCATCACCAAAGTCCACCATTGACTTTGATTTCTTCTCCCATGGATTCCACACAGCTGAACACACCATCAAATTTAAGATGAAAAGGGCTGCAATTAAATTTTCTACCACAACTTGAAACGTTATCCACATTTGTCATATGTTTTTGAAATTTTTTTACTAGTCATATAGCTTACCAACATCAGGGAGACCATCCTTCCTTATAACAAATGTTCGCTTCTTCTCATGATCTAGCACTGCAATTATGTTTGGAGAGCTAAGATAAACTCGATCCACCTGCCGTGAATGAAGAATGGATATTCAAAACCTCTTTATTCATAGCTTTCATTGTGTCAAAACCTAAAAGAATTTAGTGAATATTGTATGTGATTGACAAAACTGCAGCATAGGCTAGGAATATAGTGCTATAGTTACCTCAACCTGAAGCAACAGCTTAAATTGAAGCATGGAACTATAACCATCTACATGTGTAAACATGAATATAACCTACAAGGATTTACCTCAGATTCAAATGTTATTGCATCTCCTTGTTCTGTAAATCGTTCCTTTTTGAAAAGGTAGTCTAAGTAATCCAGTGTCTCCAGACCTTCAATCCGTATCTCACTATACAAAGTTGTTAATGTGACGTGAATAATGATTACCAATCTTACAATAAATTCCTTGTTCTAAAACAATCAAAGGAGGGATAATTCCCATAGAAATTATATAAATGAAGTATCCATATAGGTAACAAGCATTGCACAGTAGCTTGCTTCTAATGCTTACAAATTCTGAAGGGTGCGTAAAAATTTTGTACTTCATTCCTAAATAGAACTTATAATTCCAGCATTCAGAGAAGAAACCACCTAATGTATAAAGTATCCATGCTTATTTCAAATTAATAGAGCATATGTAAGTGTTTAGTAGTTTCTAAAGAAGAGAACCGTCCTCTAAGACCTGATTGAATGTTAAAATCCCACAATTTAAAGCCTTCAGCAAACAATTCGTTTAATGCATGTTCAATGTATATAATATATGCAGAAAATACAAACAACCAAATATTTGACTACAATAAATCATGAACAAGGATGCATTAAGGAAGCACTGTTACTGCTAAATAAAACTCTAATTAAGTGTTTCAGCAGTCTATTCAAAAGAAAATGAGGGTTGGACATCATCCCACACCCTGAACAAGTACAAGAAATCCATACCTAATGTCAGAAACCAATAAGTATGTGTGATATGCAAATGAGAAACTAAATGGCTTGCCATTTATGTTCCTGACTCTAGATATCAATGTAAGGTCCCCATCTGTTGCAAGAGACACCCGAAGACGGAATTCAAAACTGGTACAATTATTAAACAATCGTTAGATTACTACTGCTTGAAATTTACTTCCAAACACAGTGAGAACGTAATATCAAGTGCACATATGTCAGCTTCAAACTCTCAAACGCAGGGAGATTGGGTATCCCTGTTATACTGTCACAACAGGCTATTCATACCTGTGTGGCCAGCTCTTCATATCTTCTTCAGATGATTTTAGTACCAGGTCAATAAAGGATTTTCCACTGGAATCATTTGCAGAAAGAGGAGGAGGATTATCATCAATTGCCCACATTCTATTTCTTGCAAAACCATGCTGTTCCAGCGATCCGCAGTTTCCAAACTGTCAAACAAATTCAGCTTAAGATATGTGACTTATGCATGTTACAATTTATAGAACATGAACGTACAAAGGAGTACGTTTACCTGTGGAAAGCACATCGGAATTCCTCCTCTTATTGATTTTGGTGCCTTGAAAATTGCCTACAAATCAATGGAAAATGAAACAAAAGAGTTAGTTATTACACTTGCCTCTTTAAAAAGTATAATTGATTAAAGTTCTATGTTTCTAAAAAAACCATCATCTGTATCCATGGAAACCATCAGGAAGTGATTATTATAAATCAATATCATCTGTCAGCAAGTTGGTTATCCCGTCAAAGTTTTCATTGAAGCAGTACTCAACTCCAGTGGTTCAAGAGGATAAAAGCACCCTTCTTCCCTGTTTTTCTCTTGCATGGATGTGATTGATGGCAGGATAGAGTACTATGATTCATTAACATCCAAACTCTTCTTGAATTTATTGACTATCTGGGCAAATGCCCTTCACATACTAGCTGCAATACAATGCAGTTCATCCCAAAATGAACTCATTTCAGAAAGCAGGATTATGAAAAGTTGACATATTTTCCTCATCAGCTCTCACAACTAACAAATTCATATAATTTGAAATAATATAAACAGATTTTTAATCAAAATTTTAAGCCGTACTTTGCTGCTTGTGAATAAAAGTTCTTCCCCTTGCTCATTCCGCCATGAAGTGACCTGCGCCCCATGTAAGCTTACCTAATTTCAAGAAAAAAACGGTTAATCCGTGTACTCATAGTACTAAAATTATACCCTCAAACTAAAAAATATCTTTATAAACCAAGTTTCCCTCATCATGAATTGAGATAGGATGCTATAATAAATTTAAAATCATAACTTCACCAAATGTCAAAAACCGATGCAAATTTTGCAATGAACAAGTTCTCACCCGTGCTGAAGCACCCCTTGGAGTTCGAAGCACAATTTGATCAACTCCATTCCAGTCCTTTGTAATTTCAGTTGCTGCTCTATAGTCCCATACGGCTGCAGAATGCCCCATTCAAATTAGTGTAGATCTTAATCTTCTTCAGCAAACCCTATAAAAATTTCTCAATTTTGGTACATGCAAATGCCAGAGCATTGAAGAGGATTTCACCTCACACCTATACTGTAACAAACAAGTGAATTAGCCTCCTTATCTGTTAAAGCCAAAATCCCAACAGCCAATTTAACTCAAAATCTCTCCTCACTGGTATGATTCAGATCTACGGAACAATAAACCCATTTTTAAAACAACAATTATGAATGTGAAAGAAAATTCCACTAAAATTCCAGAAAGCCAAGAGCAGAAACATTACACACTGAACATTTGGCAATTGCATACCAATCTACCTGGCACACATCTAAGCATGTTCTTGAAACTTGTCAGATTTCCAGAAGAAAAAGACAACTAAATATTGAAAAACTCTGAAAGATTCAAAAATTGAATAATCATCAATAAATAAATCACACACACATATATAACAGCTGTAATAATTTTTACTTTAATAGTATAAGCAGAAAACAATAACAATAATTTCTGCAGCAGGAAAATTCAACTCAAGGAAGAAAATCGAGATACTAAAATGAAATCCCATCAAACTCAAGAGAAGACTGGATAATAAACCTCTCATTAACCAAACACTAGTAATAAGTGTACTTACTTCAACAATCCAGAATCAGGAATTCCAAGTCTAAACCGACACCAGGGCTTGGATGCAGAGAGGAGCAGCAGTAGAAGCCAGAATAATGCATGACCTCTGTGAAATGAGTTAAGAAATTCACACATCCAATGACACGAGGCAGCACCTGTTCATCAAGTACAGAGGAGATACATACATGACGAAGAAGAAGCGATCAAAAAGTTGAAAGGTACCCTTTTCTTAGAAGTATTCATTCAAGACCAAACTTGCAATTGAATCAAGAAAAGTTTAAAACTTTCAACCACCCCAAGATTTGAAAAAGTAAAAAACTACAGCAAGTGGTAGGTGGCAATGTGTGGGAGGGTGGGATAAAATTTTTACACAAGCTGAAGATAAGGAGCAAAAACCGGTCTTGTAAATTCCCTGTCTGTTGGCTGTTGAAGAGATCTAGTTCTAGGACGTGGAGATACGAGAAGTACTTGTACATATGTACAAACCGTCAAAAAATTTGAACATTTTTTAATGTTGATTAAATTATAACAATTTTGTGTACAAGATTTAAAATGAGAGAGTAAAATATACACCATTCCAGTGCAGGGTTGAAAGCTACTTTTTCTTTGGACTGTGGTGGAGAGAATCAACAATCACGCACACAACACAACGGAGGGTGATGGATGAATCCATCTCAAGATGGAATTGAAAATGAAAGTAAAACTGATGTCTTAAACACACAACACAGAGGCATCACATCACTCGAGCATACTATTATAAGGGCATGCGTACATGTTCGGTATTTCTTCCAATGAGGTGTGCAAAATGGATTTGTCACCGCAATCCCGGGCTTATCTTTCAATTTCTCTCTCTTCTTCTCTTTAGCACGGAAACACTTACCGTTTTATTTATTTATTTAATATATACTGCATAAACTACACAGATAGGGTACACAAAAAAAGAAACTCAAGTTGCCACAAAAGAAAATTTTACTCTCATAAATTATTATTATTTCGTTGTCAGGGCTTTTTAATCGAGAGGATAAGGGCAAAGAGACGTCCATGAAATTCGACTCTTCAAATTGTCTGCATCACCGTGTGTATTTTGAACTTTTAGTAAAATTATTCATTTAACATATTGTTCAGTATTGTTGTCTTCTTTATCTTTTTCACTCTGCACATTTATTTTCTTTCCCATCTCTTTCAACCATGATTACACATACATTTTTGCATTCATAGTACAAAAATATTTTTAAAGTTTTAACCTTAAGGTTTAATGTACAAAAAACTTAATAAGTTTACACAAAGAGTGATCAAGTTATTAATATGAAGAGTTTAAATTCTAGAATCATCATTTTGACAAGGAAAACTTTATCACCATCTTCATGTGAGCGTTGAAGAATGGTGTGTTTAGAACTGTATTTTGATGGAGATTGTCATTAGAAAAAACAAAATTTAAGATAAGAAATGATGTGTTTTGAGAAATTATGGCATGTCGTATCTTTGGCATATGGCAATGGCAGAAAAGGTGCGATGTGATGCTTGATGTCACATGGCGATAACAAATGTCATACATTCCTTCCGAACCATGAAGCTTCCATACTCATTCATGTCACCTTTTTACAAGATCAAATTATTGGATTAACACCCAATTATAGTTCGACTTTTTGAGGAAGATTCCTCCTCATATAACCATGTTATTGATGATGCAATAGAATATAATAGGTTAATAGATTTATTATTATTATTATTATTATTATTATTATTATTATTATTATTATTATTAATGTTAATTTAATATATTATTTAAGTGATTATGATCTATTTCATTTATTTGTCTCAAAAAATATCACTGTAATATTAATATGATTATATTTATTAGTGTATTATATATATATATATATATATATATATATATATATATATATATATATATATATATATATATATATATATATATATATTACCAGTTATGTGTTACTTGACATTGACATGAATATTTATCATTAAATATGATCATGTGAATAATATATTATATACTTTTCAAATAATTTAACAAAATTTATGAGAAATTACATTAATGTTTTCTAAAATAAATTAAATTAATATTAAAATTAATAATGAGAAAAATTAAATGTTAAATGAAAAAATATTTTAATATAACAGTTATTTAAAAAAAATTATGGTAAAATTTTGTATGATATTTTTAATCCTCCTCTCAATATTAGAAATTAAGTTTTTGTTTGATTTTAGATTTTTTCGTCCCATACCATTCCCAATTTACATATTTTTTTAATAATTATATTTATAATAAACTAATTTTTATATATTTTATATTTATAAATAAATACTTATAATTTTATAATTTATAATAATTATTAATTAAATATATTTAACTTATTATGTTTAAATGGTTAATAATTATGTTTATGATAAAATAAAAAAATATAAAATTTAATAAATATAAATTATAAATAAAATAATATTAGTTAGTATTAAGAAAAAAATATTAATTTAAAAAAAAATTATATTCTTTAAATTGGTTAAATAATTTAAAAAAAGTTAATTTAGAAGAGAAATTAGAAAAACCTAAAGAAGTGAAAAAAATATAATAAACTAATTAATATAAAAAATAACAAAATTAAAAGATAGATAACAGAATAAAAACAATAAAATATAAAAAAATATTATATATAATAAAAAAATTGAAAAATATAAAATATTAATCATTTCGTAATATAAAATCAAAGATAGAAACGAATGGATATAAAAATTAAAGTATCCCTTTCCCCCGACCTGTTAAAAGATGAAAAATCTGACCTCACCCGTGTAAAAGAATCTCAACCCGTCATGAATTTAATTTTTTTCCTATTTAACTCACAACAGGCATCCTAAATCCTAAGTAAAGAATGGGAGTAGGAAAGCAGTAACCCAACTACCACTGTCCATAACATGTTTCTCACACATCTCATCTTAATGTCCACTAATCAACCACATTGTTCCACCCATGTCCCATTTTCCTCCATCTGTCAACCCACAACCAGACACAATCCTCAACTCACACTTTTCATGTACATAATCCATTTTCAAGGCCTCCAATAATTCATCAATATTATATCTAATTATTAACCATTTAAACTTAAATCTCATTTTACCCCTGTTTATTTGAACTGATTTGCGATGAAATACTGTTCACGAAGACAGAAACACGAGATTCATGTCCCCATGAAATTCAATTAAATTGAATTTATTCATTGATGATAAGGTCAATGCACATGGTCTAGATCTGAGAAGAAGCTGTTATTCAACTTCATCATCCATTTATACATAAAATATAAAGTATTGGAAATGCTTTGAGCATTGGAGAATTAATGCGATTTCTGTAATATCATTCTCCTTATTCATGCTATTTACCATGGCAGTAGGTTGGTTTTCAATCATGTCAATTGTCAAATCAGAATGACATCGATTACACAGCATGTACTTTTGTAGTCCAGGGGTGTTCCTGTAATCTCACTATGATGCTGCATAAAAAATCTTTTAATTTTTTATTTTTGTTTATCATATTCAATTCCCTACCCTCTTTTCCCAAGTCTTTCTCAGCCTCTATATGTTGCATGTGATTTACTGTTTCGAAGGATAAAAAAGCGGGATGAATTGCGTTTGTTGCAATTGATATGAGACGATTTGCAGGTGCGGATTTGAGAGAGAGGGGAGGAAACAGTGCATCCATGCCTCCTCTAATTTATGCGAGGATTTGAGCGGATAACAGAGAAAGATAGGTCATCAACTGATAAATGACTTAAATACCCTTTTCCATGTGCAGCATGTGAACACACAGTATGATAGCAATTACATTTTAACCGCTATTATAATAGCACTTCTAATAGCGGTTAAAACATAACCGCTATTATATAGCACTTATCATAGCGGTTAAAACTTAACCGCTATTATAAAGCACTTCTAATAGCGGTTAAATCTTAACCGCTATTATATATTTTCAGATATGATCGATAATTTTAAAATGTAGTCGATCATAATCGAAAAATTTGGATGTCGCTCAAGCGACGTCAGTTTCGCTCAAGCGAAAAACAACCCGAGAATGAAAATTATGTGCAGGTGTCTTCGCTCGAGCGAGTTTAATGTCGCTCAAGCGAAATACAACTTGTAATAGTGGTTAAATCATAACCGCTATCTAATATATACTTTAAATAGCGGTTACAGAGGAACCGCTATGATATCTTCCAATTATGATCGATCATTTGAAATTATGATCGATCAGGATGGTATTTCGCTCGAGCGAGAGTATATTCGCTCGAGCGAACTACAACCCGAGACTGAATCTTAAAATATTTTTTTTGAATATTATGTTTTTTAATTTGTTATTAGAGAAAACCTTTCGGAATTCAAAATGTTAAATTATATTTTAGAATATATATCTATATAATTTTCTATCAAAATTATATATTCTCAAATATAATTTATTTTCATTTCTATAATATATATATATAAATGTTAGTAATATTGTGGAATATATATTTTATATTACAGTAATTAATATAAATTATATTTTAGAATATGTATATAGATATATATATATATATATATATATATATATAATTATATAGTAAAATAAATTCAAATTCTGGATTCTTGATAGAGGCTATTCTATGTGAACATATGATAGCGGTTCGAGGTGAACCGCTATCTTAAGTGTCGAGGTTTTGGAAAAGTGATCGATCATTTTGGCAAAATAATCGATCATTTGAAAACTTTAGATAGCGGTTAACATATAACCGCTATCACAGGTTACTTTTAAGAGCGGTTATCTTTGTAACCGCTCTTAAAAGTCTATATATAATAGCGGTCCAGTTTAACCGCTATCTTATATATATTTGTAATAGCGGTTATTACTGGAACCGTTATCTAAAATCTTGATCATTTGACAAATTATATATTCTAAACACGACGTGAAGGAGGTAAGTCATGAACGAAGTCACGGGTCTGTACATGCAAGTGGTCACGAGTCGTACTAACCAACTTCACGTGTTCACGAGTGATAGAAGTTACAGGACTTATTCTTTCTTCTCTAGTTACAGCCAGATAGGGAAAGTTATTGTATTATATAAAGCAAAGCTAGTCTCATAAGACTAGCTAAAAGACTCTAGCAAAGCAAAGCAAAGCTACTCTGTTGTAGGTTGGATCTTCGCAGCGGCCATTAACTTCGGTGTGACCTTGGTTGGTACGTTTGTTTTTGGTATATTGTCGGAGGAACACCCCGGTATGGTTCTCGTGCCTTCTGTGTCATGGTTGGAACATAAAACTTGGTTGGTACGTTTGTTTTTGGAGTCTCGTGTGCATGCATAAGAGTGTGTGTGACCATTCGATTAGAGGAAAAAAATTAGAGGAAAAAAATTATTAGTAGTTTTGTAAATAATTTTTGGTTTTGTGATACTTGGTTTGCAGATGGCAATTTTGAATTACTTCCATTAAACATTAATTAATTATATATATATATATATATATATATATATATATTGCGATGATGGCGAGACAAAAACATCGAGGTCATTGGTTTAGACAATGACGATATAGATACTTGGTCCGGATATAAACATGATTTCACATATACAAAGTGAGATAAAAAAGCGAAGCGAAATAGGAGCGATGACAATTCTTTGTTTGATAGCTTATGAATTAAATATGTTGTCTATGGTAACTTGTAGTAGCAAGTAACATTAGGGACTTTATTTCGAAAAGAACGTCGTCGGCACGAGTTGATGTCATACCTTATTCATACTGAACAATCTCGTCACATTATTCGCATGGGACCGGAGGCGTTCATTAACTTGTGTCAACGAGTAAGGACAACTGGATTAGTAAACGATGGGTTACAATCAACAGTGGAAGAACAAGTGGCTAAATTTCTCCATATTATCGGACATAACATTAAAAATTGAACTGTTTCATTTTTTTTCCATCGATCAGGTGAAACCGTTAGTCGACACTTTCATAACGTGTTGAATGCGATAATAATGTTGGACGAACAATTAATTGTTTAACCATCAGGAAGGGATGTGTGTCCGTATATATTAAGCAACAACCGATTTTACCCATACTTTAAGGTAATGTACTTACCAACTTTGTGTATATATAACATACACATAGATTGTCTAAACTTTAATGACAATAAATTTTTTACCCATTAGGATTGTTTGGGGGCAATAGATGGAACTCATGTTCGAGTTAAAGTCACAAGATCAGATGCCCCTCGTTTTCGTGGAAGAAAAGATTGGCCAACACAAAACGTATTTGCAGCTTGTGATTTCGACATGAAATTCACATATGTTCTAGCAGGGTGGGAAGGAACAGCATCTGATTCAAGAATATTAAAGGATGTTCTTACGAGAGAGGATCGCCTTATCATACCGCAAGGTTTATTATTTATAACATGCGGATTTTGTGTATAGTCAACTAGTTTAAATATTCTAATTAGTATAACTTCAATGATTTTAAATAGGTAAATACTACTTGGGGGATGCTGGATTTATGTTAAAAGCAAACATAATGACCCCTTATCGAGGCGTTAGATACCACCTTAAAGAGTATTCTCGACGAGCTCCACAAAACCCCCGAGAATTGTTTAACCATCGACATTCGTCTCTTAGAAATGTCATTGAAAGAACATTTGGCGTTTTGAAGAAAAGATTTCCTATAATAGCTAGTGGAACAGAGCCTCATTATTCATTTGATACAATGACGAATATAGTCCTAGCATGTTGCATTCTACACAATTTTCTTCGAGGGATAGACAACGATGAATCACTGTTAGCTGAAGTGGATCGAGAGTTGATGGAACAAGATGTGGATAATATGTCGACTCAAGTTCGGGAAGAGGATTATAGGGAAGGGTCAAACTTAAGAGATACTATAGCAAATCAAATGTGGATAGATTATCAAATCTGATAATAGTTGCTTGAATTGATTGCTTAATAGTTGCTTGAATTGATTGCTTTGGATGTGTAAAAACTGTTGTTCAATCTATGTTTAAAACTTTCAAGCAAAACTGTTTTTAAAGAGAATTTTCAAATCTGCTGCATTAATTAATCTGTTGAAAGTTTGTTTTAATCTGTTGAAATAGCCGTTATAATCTGTTAAAAGTCCTTTCAACCCATTAATGCGTTCTTGTTTCTTTAACAGAATGGTTTTAGTTGATACAACCATGTTTATATCAGCTTAAAACATTTTACAAACATTTTTCGAGAGTGATTCAATCGATTGATTCGCGTTTTAATCGATTGATTTGCTTAAAAACCTTCTTATAAAACTTTCCGAAGTTATTTTAGCTGATATAAAGTCGTTTTAATCGATTGAAAATCTGTACATAACTTTTCAAGTCTTTTTAATCGATTGAAAGTTCGTTTTAATCGATTGAAATAAGTCTGATCGGTCATAATTAAATTATGATCGATCATAACCAACTCGATCGGTCATAATTTCATTCTGATCGATCATCCTGATTTCCAAAGTGGTTTTAATCGATTAAAACGTGTTTTAATCGATTAAAATAAATCTGATCGCTCATTTTTAAAGTCTGATCGATTATATTTCATTCTGACATGTCATATTCGAATTCTAATCGGTCATAAAAGGGTTTTAATCGATTAAAAGAAGTTTGTATCGATTAAAATACTGTAAAAACACTCCTTTACGTATTCTAAGTGATTTTAATTGTTTCTTTTAAAACTATATCAGTTAAATACATTGTTAAGAAAGTTCTTTGTCAAAATGCTTTTGTTTGATTTGTTTAAAACTATTTTTGAGGCATTTTGCAAATTGAGTGAAGGAGCTTCATGCAAGTGGAAAAAGGTAAAGGATATTGGTATCGTAATTACATATATTAAAACTATTGTTAAAACATTGTTAAAACTATTTATAATTATTTGTTTGAAGAGCATTAGTGTGCATAGATTTATAATTTTAGTAATCTTTCCTTTAATTATTATTCTATTTTCATCTGTATTTTATATTTGTTTTAAATAATAATGTACAATTATATTATTAGTTTTCATAATTATTTGTTATTATCAATCAATATTAATTATTATTTTATATTTTATAATTATTTAATTATTAGTCAAATAATTTATTTAATATGTCAACATTATTTGAATATGGATATGCAATGTACATAATTTTGTAATTGTTTATTTATATAATTTTTAATAAATATCTAAAAAAAGTTAATTTTTTAAATTTGTTTCCAATTACAAACACTTTTAAATTTGTTTTTTCTTTTAAATATATAATCAATGTTAAAATATGGATAATTAATTAAAAAATTATATTTATAATCATTTGAACCTTATTTTATACAAAGGGTAAAATGGTAATTTTTTTAAATAATCAATTAAAATTATAATTTTTATATCTCATATCAATCAAATCATTCACAATTTCCCATAAACTTTCCTTTCACTTTCCATTCATCCAAACAACTTTAACTTTATCTCCATTTCTCTTCAAATCCCTCCTTTTCCACTCTCTCATTTCCACTCTCTCAAATCACTCCAACCAAACACACCCTCAATGTCCATTAATGTTTACGTCAGCATTTATCTTATTTTTTATTCATTAGAGCTGAACACAAGTGTTAAGAGATTTACAATAACTAATACACATTATTCAAAGAACAAAACAAAGTTAAGAAATTTATTTTCTTGCACACTTTTTCATGAGCAATAATGAACCATAGAGTTCTAAAATAGTGAGCCACACTGAAGAAGAGAACCCGGAAATCGGATAAGTCCAATGTGGGCCATGGGCTTAAATTAAAATTATAATAGGCTGGACCAATTGGACACGCTAAAATAGTCCAGAATTGGGCCCAGAGCAGGCCTGTGTTCAATCCATTCATCAGTACTTCGAAAATCTTGAAACTTTAAACATGAATAAATTTATTCATAAATACTTTTAAAGGAAAAAATTTAGAAAAACATTTTTTTATAAATTATAATTGATTTATATACAAATTAGTGTATAAAATATATTTTTTCTAAAGTCAAAATTCTTATTTTTTTTATTCTACTCAGGGGTATGTGTACTCAAAACCCTTGTTACATTTAATAATAATAAAAAAAAACTGTTTCTTATTTTGATGCTTCGAATGCTCCACATCACTCTCTTTCAAGCACAATGTTTTCATCTAGATTAGTTATCATTCGCAGTTGTCAAAAACTACTTTTTGAAGTTAGTGTTTACATGTTATTTTATTTATTTTAATCATTTTAACTTTTTTAATAAAAGATTTGTTCTTTATTAATCAAAGTTCAAAGTCAAAACAAAAGCAACTACTTCTTTCGAAGAAATCTTTTCAAAAAATTTATACACAAAATATGTTTGATTTTGAATGTGCTTTCTATTGGAAAGAAACACTTTACCGAAAAAATGTCAGAGCTTTTGGTGTTTTTCTGCTTTCTATTTTTTGTTTATATTCTGTATTTTGTTATTCTTGTTCTGATGTAGATTTTTCCCTAATTTCTTTCAGCTATGGAAATTGAGGGTTTTATGTCTCATCTTATGCAATAGCTTTTCCAATCAAGTTAACAGAAAAATAAAAGAGTGAAGTTTGACTTTCCCTGCCCCTCCGACTTTTTCCTTTCTTTCAACAAACTTTCATTTCGTGTGTATAAAAAAGTTGCCGACACGTTTGCCTCACCTTGGGTCCATCCTTCACTCTGGATACATGCAAAATAAAGGATGATGTTATTTATATATCACTATCTTACACAATATTGTACATTCAAAGAGGTGCAGGAAGAAAAGAAAACTGTGAAATGTAATAAATGATGTGTTTAAGAGATAGAGAGAACAATTTAGCTAAAAACAAATTATTGTAAAAAGGTTTAGTAGGTAGAGATTTTACAATTATTTTTATAAAGTAGACTGCACCAAGACTTTTGGCAATTATTTTAAGGCACTAGTAGCCATAAATAACATCTGTAAAAGCACCATTTTTTTCCTCTTTAATAATAGACTACTCGTTGTATGTTTAATAAAAATCAAGATACTCATCAAGTACCTATTGACTTTCTACAATAGGCAACTGGTCATGGAAATGGGTGCAGCATCAAAGCCAGCTTCAAAAGTTACTTCATGGATTCCATTACTTTCAAATGAAAGAGCACACTCAAAATATAAAATGCAGATGCGGTTAGTACAGTTGTGAGTTGAGTCAACAAATGATTGACATTGTGATGAAATATATATGAAATTATTAGAAAAGAAGAGTATGTTTGAGAGGAGCCCAATCCTAAACCAGGCATCTCACAAGCTGCAAGATGAATTGGTAGCACAAAACATAAACCAGAACAACTTTATATGAGATACCATTAGAAACTCCACACCAATCGTTAATAGTACAAACGCAATTATGTAACGGTTCAACAACCCTCTCCAAACTGAAATCTCTAGTTCTCTTCATTTTACAATATTCGTCATCAACTTTTGTCAAATCTAATAGAATACAGAGTTTTTGTCCTAAGTAAACCGATAAGCAATGAATTAGTTCGGATTTTGATGGATTGAGATACTAAAATTCAGCTGATCCATCCCTCTGGAAACTGTTAGCAGTAATTTTGGGCTTGTAATATGCCAAAACTACCTGATCAGCCACTACAATTACTGGTTTTCTGTATCAACCAGCTGCCACAGCATCAGCTCTAGGACTCGTGTCCAGAAGTTGATGCAGCTTTGCACCAGAGTTTGGTTTGTTTTCACGAAAGCCATTCTCATCCTCCACGGTTCTATCACTAGAACTGGAATTGTTATTAACTCTAGATAGTAAGTTTTCTGTGCTGACAGGTGTAGCCCTCTGGCTGTCAATTATGTTCAAAGTTATCTCCTGTGTTTGTCCAAGTTGAGCATTTTTAAGTTTTTCCTGAGTCAAAGACAGGATGACATTCAGCGTTAGAACGTAACACAAGGAAAACCCATGAGTTATGAATTAGCAATAGTACGTGAAGAGTACCCTTAATGTTGCATTTTCCACCCTCATTTTTTCAGAACTTTCCGTCAGTCGATTTATTTCTGATTTCAGTGTCTCGTTCTCAGCATTCAAGGAATCAACTTTTCGTGCCAGTTCTTCAGTTTCAGCCTGGACAGCAGGAATGTGAGCATTAGTCACAAGCCTATTATATAGAATATATAATCTTTACTTCTGTTTTTCTGGAGGGTGGTGTGCACAGGAATCACGTGCTACAAATGTACAAGTGTGTGATAAAGAAAGAAACTGCTTAATTTATGATTTTTAAATTGACAACCCAAGAAGAAATAGACGATTTACAAAGCTTTTGAAGAAAGCCACAGTATTTACACCTGTTTCCTTAGTCTTGACCTTCTAGCAGATTCTCGATTAGATTGTTTCCGCCTCTCACGTTTCAGCTCACGCTCATTCTACAAGGACGAAACATACCCCCACAAGCGTTACTTTAGAGTCAGCAAAAGACAAGGATACCGCATTATTACTACATGTTTTAGACACGTATCTGATGTACTATATTATGATCTGAACTGCTAGGATGATGAATTATATACGCTGAAACACACCTGTAACCAAGCTTCTGTAGGCAATACTGAACAAGGTTGTGGGGCATTTGTGGTATTTGCTTTAGAATGAACACTGGAAGGATTTCTCAGCTCCAGCACGGTGGTCATACCTGAAGAAACTACAGGCCCAACTATTGTTCCTGCACCACTGGCAGGGACAATTGCCACCATCTTATTGGAAGCTGCAGTCTCTTTAGAAATGGGACTGCTTTGAGTATCAGTTTTCCCTTCTCCATCTGCTTGTGAAGTGCAGAAAAGAACAACCATCAACACAAATTATGTTCAGAACCTACTCTAAACTTCAAATGCTTGTACATAAAATAACACACTTTGGTTTGAGACATTTCAATTTGCAAATATAGGACAAGAATACCCATACTGTGTCATATCGGTAATTACAAATTTGCAATAAAGCCCATCTTAAGAGTCTACTACATTTATCAAACTAATGGCAAAGTTGAAAACTTTGGCAATTTCACCTTGCTGAAAAAAATATTTTACAGCAGCCTTTAATTATCAAGACCCAACTGAATAAACGGATTGGACACCATTTGTGCAATGACAACAGAAGAATAATTATGATCCCAGGACAACTCTATTATTCATCAAGATGTGACACTTGGTGAAGAACAGAGTCATACCAGTGGTTGGTGTTCCCTCACGGCTTCTTTTCCTTCTTGTTTGATTAGCCTGATCATAAGATGGGCAAATATCATATTTTAATGTTTCAATTGAGTCAAAACATTTTAAAGAAAAATAGACTATAGGTGAACAAATTTCAAATAGTCAACAAAGTGCAGCAAAAAAATGCAAATTGCAAGCAAGTTCTCACCCCTGAAGTGTTGCCATCACTTCCATCACTGGAACCCTCAGTATCCACACTGTTCACATCATCAGTAAATTATTCAGTCATCCACAAGACTCCCTTACATAATCAACTCATGGACCACTACTCTAGACAGAGGGAGAGAAAGTAGGTTAAGTCACTAAAGAGTAACAAATAACAGCTTTTCCCCTCTCCATCAACCCCAACGTGTGGGAGATATCTAGATAAGTATGCCATTAAAATTATTCATACAAAAAGATAACAGATCAACAAACCTCTGTGACAGCCTGTTTTCACCTCCACGCTCAACACTTTCAGCATGGCCATTGCCAATTGACATTGCAAGTCCATCAAACTCTTTCAATTTCTTCATTAAACCCTGATCAGCATTTCCTGATGATTTGGGGGGTGTTTCTATGCTTAAAGGAGTCCCAGTCTGCATTGTTACACCAATTCAAACCAATCATAAGTTGATATCATTGAAGGACTTAGTAGGAACTGGTCTCAGAGGAAATTAAAACTTACAGCAGGTGAAGACAGAACTCCTTGACCATGAGTATGTGGCCCCTATATTTTGTAAATAAAACTCATAAGAACAATGTCCAAAATTCCTAGCAAAAGAAGCATAGTACTAAAGGAGAAAAAACCTCTATTATTGCCCATTTTATTCGACTATAAATAAATGAAGATTTTAATTATATTAAGGTTATCATAGCTTGGAGAGGTTAATGAAGGCTGACGTGCAGTCAGGAATAAATATCTTTGAAATTACCTAGGGCCAACAGAAACAGCGGAATCATATCTCACTATATTCTTAACATCTGTTATCTTTATCGACCCATTTTCAATAAGATATAAATACACCAATTCATAGACCAGAAAAAAAGAACACTAATTCCAATAACAAAATAATTAAAAAACATAAAATACAAAAGCAAATTGCAAGACAAACTTACGATAGGAACTGCAGGGTAAACCCCTCCATGTGAATAAATTGCTGCATAATGAGGCCCATAAGGTGGCATCATAGGCTGGAATAAATAATTAGTCAGCAAGTTATTCATCCCTGTCATCTAGAATACAGACAAAACATGCAAAAAACAAAGAATGGCATTCATAGAGCATACAAATGCTGGCATTGAGATACTACTACCTGTGGTGGCCCCCACATGTATGGGTGAGGAGCGTGACCAGAAGCCACAGCCGAGTTGTAGTATGGGGGCATGGTGACTCTTGGCCCATAATATGCCTGATGATATATAGCAGACATTTTAAATCATAATACATTCACTATTCCTTAATTAGAGGGCAAGTACGCTTGAAAAAATGCATGATGAATAAACTTGAGAGGTATAAAACTTAATAGTGTCATACCATCAAATCAAACTTTTTTTAAAGACTAACCAATCCATGGACAAAACACATCTCATCCTAGATATTACCACAGCTGATGGCCAAACTCAGTAGCAATTCAGTTCATAATTTCAGTTTGACATTAATTAGGGGAACATATTGATAGCAACTCGCAAAATACAGACAAGGTAATAAAATGGACCAAAGGAATGGCCCTCTAGTACTTATATTAAGATCAGAGAGAATGATCAATAATTTACATGAGGAAATATAGGCAGCTTTCATCCTTCTTTGCTTCGTCCAGGAAAAAAACGAAAATGGAAATACACAAATAGTATTTTAAAATAAAAGATAGCAGGTGTCTTTCCAGGAAGATGTAGCTGCAGATCATTTGACATTGAAACACAGAAGAAACAAGACAATTAAGATAATGGTTCTTCAGTTTGTCAACGTTAAGATAAAATCGTTAGTAAAAATTTTTCAAAGAAGTAGCCAGTAGACAATCGAATAAAGTTGGCGATTATGAACAGTAGGATTTCACCTCAATCATTGGCATAATATTAATTGACTGAGTTAGAATATTAAAGATTAAACAACTAAAATTTGAGAGTATTAGTTTACATTGAAGCTAGCTAACAAGAAACTACTATTAAATAATTCAGTCACTAACAGAAAAAGTAATTTAAGGCAGAAGGTAGGTGACCTGCATGGCTGCCCAATCAGGATATACATGAATATTGGGCTGGTTGGTCTGATTAGCCTGATCCTGTTCACAAGTACAAAAGCAATAAGTCAAGCTTGTTACAGATTTGTCAACACCCAGACACACTCCTATGAACTCACCATTGTTACAGGTGATGAAGGCTTTTCAGTCTTGGTAGATTTTTCTTCGTCCTTGCTTCCCATTGTAAGCTCCAGACAGAGAGCACTAAGTCAAATAATGCAGAAGGAGCTTTGCTACTTCTGAAAAAATGTCTCAACTGCATTAACAGGAGTAGTCAGCTTGTTAGTTGATATCAGCAAGAAAATGTCACAAGGAAATTAATAATTGACATTTATAATCTACACTTGACCCTATATATTCTTGGTAACTTATATTATGAATTATAAACGGTTTACTATTGTAGATAAGTTATACATATAAGCATGTAAGCATGCAAGACACTAGCAAAGGGGAAGGGCTATTCCAGCAATTTCAAATTAATACTTGATAAACTTAAAAAAGAGGAGGAGGAGGGGTTAAACAAAGATGCAAGACTAATATGCATCATTATTACATAGAAGGAATTAGATATGTTACAGAAGCCAATTAACAGAAGCTGGAAATATGATTCACTGCATAAAAAATAAATATAAACAAATAGTGCACAACAATTTTTGCTTTCTAGTGTATCTTCTAAGCTAGGCATATGATAGCATCGTACAAACGTTCTAATTTCCTAGATGGAAAATTGAATTGGCTAATTTCCCATGTCCAGTATAACCTTCAGAAGAGATTCAACGAGTCTCAGAGTGAACAATCTAGCACCCACCAAAGATGACAATCCTGATACAGCTAAGCAATGCAGGATGGAAACACGTTTCGAAACATGTCAGAATAACCGACTGATCGAAACAGAGAAGTTCAAAAGTGGAGAAAGATGACATGATTTTATAATTAATTAGATGCAGAGTAAATGCTTAAGGAGTAAAGGGGACCTAAAGATACTACTGGGCCATGCAATCAGAGAAGGTACCAACCAACACACAGTTAAACTTTTCTGGTTCCTTGTTTTAGCGAAAGTGAGATTTCACAGATACCTTTCAGGAAAGGCTGCAGTATTAATGGTATGTTACAGATAAATAATTCAATACGATATAGTCATACACAGAATGTTAAAGGGTCAATTCTGTCTTTTGAGCACTTCACAAGCCGGGATAGAAAGCGAAGGACACACGCAACAGACCATACTACAATCCCTCCCAACAACAACACCCGCTAGCTAAATGACAAAAATACCCTTCCGAACCAAATTTTTTCCACTTTCACACGAATCAAGGAAGCTGTGAAAACGAATGAAACTCCTGAATTAGCCAATATTTTAGCTCCGATCCAGAGACCCTATTCAGTTACAAGAAAACGAATTTCACAAAAATAGCATGAGGCCAAATAAAGAAAATAACATCCAACGTGAAATGAAAAACGCTTCACTAGACAAATCAACACAAAGAAAGCACACAAACTAGAAACTCTTACAGATGCAAAACGAGATCCAGATGAACTCCAATTCTATCCTATAGTTTAATTACCCAAAAATTCAAATTAAAAAAGGAACAGAAAATTTGTGGTACCCTTAAGTACTCTTGGTGTTTCCAATGAACAAAAATCTAAACTTAAGCATAGAATCTGTTCTTCTTTCACTCACTCTCAAATCATGAAACTTCAAACTTTCACACATCCATGCAATTTTCACATACCCGGGTACTAAAAACATTAAAAATCAAAACTTTCGATCAACAACACTCCAGAATTCCACGTACCTGACAAGATACCCAATTGGCCAATTGTTCTCCTCACTCACAAAACAACGAGCCCAAAAAAAAACATAAAAAACAAGGGAAAAACTAGTCCTGGTAGCTGCAAGTGTCCTAAAAAAAAGGGTTAAGGTTTGGAGAAGCAATTAATTGGGGTGGTAAGAGTGCATTTTCTCTCTCTAAAAAGCGAGGGAAAGAGCAGTGTGCCTTGACGCAAAGATGGGGTATTGTGGTGGTGGTGAAGAAGAAGGGAAGAAAGGAGCGCGAAGGCGAAGTCCACGTCACAACACACGTGTCGTATGTGAAATTCGGCGTATACGTATAGAATAGCGTATATACGGTGTGGGGTGTGGTGGTTGGTTGAGGTGGCCATTTGTTTATTCCAACGTGACCAGAGCCGTACACGTGGTGCTCAAGGAATCCATCTACGCGTCTTGTGTTAGGGTCCAGCCTAGCGAAGCCACACCACACCCTCTTGTCATGTGCCTTACGTGCCCTTTCAGATTCACATTATCAATTCCATATTAATTTATTATTAATACTTTCATTTCATTAAACTAAATTGAATATCTCATTTGGAATCCACCAGTAGCCACTTCTAATCCATCTTCGTCACGCACGCATGCCTTGTAAGGAGGGAGAACTGTTTCTGATATTTTGCTTACTTTTTCTTCACATTTCAGTGCATCACATCTTTTTCTTCTCTTTTATCTTTAATCCCTTTTCAAGGCTTTAGTTCTAACCTATGTTAAAAGCCCACAATTTTTTAAATTAGCTTTCATAGCCAACACAAAGTTAGGGTTTAAGAGGTGGCAAGGGTGTCTTTTTATGGTTAATAATGCCCAGAAACTGCCATGTCTTTACCATTAATTAATTTAACTGCTGCTTCACAAATCAAATATGCCAATTGTTTTCTACTCCATGGTGGTGGTGAGATGCTGACTCGTCAAACTGAAAGCTCCATAATCCGTTTATATGGCTAATGATACAGCACAACAAAAGTAGCACTCCATTCTCTCTGTAATGGGTCTGGATTTTGCGCAAAAGTTGTATCCCATGAACCAATCCATTGTGTCTCCATTTTTTCTTTTAAAATGAATAAATAATTTGGGTAATTTTTTGTTAAGTATAAACAAGATTGCAATGGACAAAATCACCGTAATCTTATCTTATGAAGAGTTTATTTAAATTCCTTATATTGTTTGTAGTCCTCCATGTCATGTGTGATGTCGGAGGCATCCCTGTCGATTGACTCACCAAGAAGCAGGTTCCAGCTTCTATTCCAACTCATTCACACGTGTCTTCTTTGCGAAACCAAACTCTGGGTCCCACTCCTTCCAACGTCACACTCTGCCACGCAGAGCCAAGCCCCCAGGGCAAAACCCTAATGCATCCATGATCCAAATATTCTTAATTTATTTCCATTCATTATTCATTTTCTTTCTTGGTAACTTTTATTCCTCATTAGATTATATGAGTAATATTGTTTGCTATTGGTAGCTTTCAAAATGTATTATTTATCTGACACCAATAAAATTTTATAATAAAAATATATGGTATGTGTGATTAGTTTGTTGGCCGAAAAGAAGTTATGTATGAAAATGGACAAAATGTCACTCTGACACACAATTTTAAACTTATATAAATTTATACATTTTACAAAACATTATTTCACATTATATAATATTTCTCAATCTGTAATTTTTACACGTGAAAAAACCACTTATGGTTGTAAAAGATACATTGCAAAGTATATAGAGTGAAAAATAATATAACAATTATTATTTTCAAAAGTCCTTTAATCATCATTTTTATTTTTTTAATTATGGGTGGAAATGAAGAAAAAAATAACATGATAATTTATTATTTACATGCAATGTCATTATTTTATTATTTTTATATTATTTAAATTTTTAAAATTAAATTCGTTATTGAATTAATTAAGATTTATATTTAAAATTTAAGGGTTTAATTAGAACAACTAAATTAGAGTATGAAAATATAAATTCAAAATTTAAAGATTTAATCAGAGTTTAATAAGATTCGATCAAATTTAATAAAATAATAATTATATAATATAATAAATTTATTAATAATAATATTTTTATAAAAAAAATATTATAAATATATAAAATATTAGATGAATAAGATAATAATTATTAAAATAAAATAAAATAATTATTATTTAAAATTAACATATTTAATATAAAATTTAATATATATTATATATTTTATACAAATATTATATTTAATATTTGATTTTTTTAAAATGTATTTAATCCAAAAATTCAATCAATTTTTTATTTTTATTTTATTTTATTTAATTAAAATAAATTATTTTAAATTAATGAAAAAAATTTCTAAAATAATTATTGAATAAAGTAATCAGAATGGTCGAATTTCAAAACATAATAGTTTGGAAAGAACATGAATAGATATATGAGATTTATATGTAAGTTCGTGTTTGTATATATGGATATACTTTAGTCGATGAGATGAGGAAGGGGATTTGAGGGATTTGTACTCTATTGATTTGAGGGAGAGTACAATTGTTTGTATCTATTGATTTATATACTGATTTGAACAGATTTAAGAGGAAATAAGAGGGGAAATGTTTCAAGTCACCACTCTCTCTTATGCGAAAAAATGCATATAATTAGGGTAAAATTGTCATTTTACCCTTTTCTTTTTATGTGATGATTTTACAGAAATACATATGCACTCTATAGAATCTCTGCATTAACAAAGTGACACAGACCAAAGACCATATGCAATTACATGGTCAAATTGTCCGTTACAATTTGTAACATAAGACTTTCTTACACCATGCACATTAAACACAGTGGTGTAGCATTATTCAGAAGTTGAATATCATCTCGTGAGAAAAGGATTTTTCATCCATAAATACACTCATTCTCACAAGTGAAAGTTATGATTTCCTTCTTGTTTCATTCGCATAACTTATTTCCAGTTTCAACAAGTTCTTTCATCTAAGTGAAGAAATATTGAGTAAGTGAAGAAAGATTGAGCAAAAGCAGTTATAGTTGTTGTTCTTCCAATTGTATTTGTTGTTCTTAAAGTTGTATTTGGAGCTGTAGTCATTTTTTGTTCCAACTAAAAGAAGGAAAGCTCCAGCCAAACCTCTCACCCCATCTTCAATAAGCTTACGAGTCAAAGAAAGTAAGTTCAATCATGGCTTTGTAAGTATTTATTGATGGTTGAATAAAAGGAGTGCACTCTCTGTTAGGAACAAGACAATAATAAAGGAAAGAATGAAGGAGAGAAAAATAAACGACACAAGAATTTTAACGTGGTTCGGCTAAAATATGTATGCCTACGTCCACGACTACACTAGGAAGTAATTTTTATTTCTGTGTGTAGTCGTGGACGTA